TATTTAAAGAATTCCTATAAATTGGTAAAAAAGACAACCCAATAGACAAACGAGCAAAAGGTATGAAGCAGCATTTTTATAGCAGAGGAAACACAAATAGTCCATAAAGTTATGAAAAGATACTCAACTTTATTAGTAGTCAAGGAAAAGCAAACAAAACCCACAATGAAATATGCTGGACGATACCAGATGCTGTCAAGAATGCAAAGCAAGGAGGATGCTGGTGGAAGTGTAAACTGAGGCAAATATTTTGGCAACAGTGACATTCCCAAGTAAATTCAGAGATGTGTGTACCTAGTGACAATCATTCCATTCCTTTGTATATGTCCCAGATAGAGAGTATATGTGGCCTTATGCGTGTATAATAAGAGACACATTATAAGAGTGTTCAGTGTAGCTTTCTTTATAATACTAAAAAAAACATTCAAATATTCATCAATAGTGGAATGATAAATAAGTTGCAGTAAATTCACACAGTAGAATATTATACAGGTACATACAACAAATGAATGAATCCAGTGATGACTTTCAAAATATTTCAAAACCAGGCAGCACAGACACTGACCAACCAGAATGGACACCAAATAAAAACTGGTACAGACATACAAGTGCACACCAGCTGAATATAGCAATGTCTGAATCTAAAACATATAATGCAATCCAAAAGAATTAAGTTGTCAAAGAAAACATGCTATGATTCCAAAGCCAAATAATAAATTGTTTAGAAATAGATGTATATGTGGTAAATCTATAAAGAAAACAGTGATTAGCAAGAAATCAAGATAGTGGTACCCTGTGGGGGTAGGAGGAATATTATAATCAGAAAGGAGAAACAGGAATCTTCTAAGGCACTGGCTCTAGTCCATTTCTTAACCTGGAAGTTAAACATGTTTACCTTTTAATGATACTCATCTTACACATTCTTTTGTACATGCATTTCAAATTTTAAAATTAAGAAAATAAGCCCTGGCTGGTGTGGCTCAGTGGATTGAGTGCCAGCTTGCAAACTGAATGGTCACTGGTTCATTTCCCAGTTGGGACACATGCCTGGGTTGCGGGCCAGGTTCCCAGGTTGGGGCATGTGAGAGGCAACCGATAGATGTCTCTCTCGCACATTGATGTTTCTCTCCCTCTTTCTTCCTCCCCACCCCTCTCTGTAAAAATAAATAAATAAAATCTTTAAAAATATATGAAATAAAATCGTAAGAAGTGAATATTAAGGCACTCACAGAATCAGGCAGGCTGAAGAAGCAGCCTCTGATCTATATGAGGAGGAGCAAGGTCTGAAACCATGCCAAAACACAGGTCTAATGAGCACCACGCTGCAGCTTTAGCAACACCTTTTATGCCTGGGACCTTGATCATCCTACAAATTCTATTGCTGGGTAAGGATCCTCTTCAGGTCTTGAGTTTTATATCCTTACTCCTGAATCCAAATCTACTACAGATTCATCTAACAGGGTCTGAGCCATTTGCCCACAACTTAGCTGCAAGTGAGGCTGGAAAAGCAACTGGCACTTGGGTTCTTTTAATTGGGCACCTGCTATAACCTATTCTAGACACTATGGATGGAACAGGGAACAAAATTCTTATCTTTATAGAATTTACATCCTACAGGGGTAGGTAGGAGGTAGTCAGACAACTGAAATAAATACCCCAGTAAGACTCCCTCAGTGGGAGATACTACAAAAGGAAGAAGGAGGTTCAAATACTGGGTATCTAAAAAGAATGTCTTCTACGTGACATAGATGGGGTATGTGACCACCTATGAGTATATAAAGTGAAACTATTACATTAAAGAGAATACACACTCAAGGCTTTTGCTATACCTTGCTAAATTTCTACACAAAATGGTTATATAAATTTATACTCCCATTACGCGCGTAGGAGTAATTCATTTCCTCAAGCTCTTCTCAAAAATTCTTTTTAATATTTGCAAAATGGAGAAGAAAAATCTTTATTTTCAACTGGGTTGCTTTGATTCACATTATATTTGTATTCCTTCTTTTGTAAATTGCGCATTCATTAATCACTTTTCAATGGAGATATTAATCTTTATTTTCACTGCAACTTTACCTATCATATGTTGCAAATACTTTCCCCAGTTTGTCATTTGCCTTCTCACTTTACAGTGAGAGTTACTGCATTCAAAAATTACTATTTAAAAAGTACAGGATAATTTTGTTTAAGTTTGACCTATCAATGTTTTTCTTGTATAGTGTTCCCTAGTTCAGTTTTTCTTTTCCCAACTCAAGGTTTTTACAAGAGTCACATCTTTTTTTCTGGTTTAGTATAGCCTAACTTTTCTACATTTAAGTCTTTGATCCTAAGTCTCTAATATCATTTATCATTTTCCTCCAGCTATTCCTGGACCATTTATTGAATAAGAGATGTTTTTCTAGATTTGAAATGCTACCTTTTAACTACAGAATAGTCTGTATGCTTGGCTGCTTATGTAATTTGTTTTCTATTTCCTCATGGTCTCTCAGCTTGCATCAGGACCACTGATTTAATTATTAAAGTATCGTGATATAGTTTAATATCTGGCACTATAAACCTCCCACTTTCGTTCTTTTCAAATATTTCCTGAATTGATCTCTCTTGCTTTGGATAAGTCCATATCCAAAATAGAAATATGTGTTGAAGCATATTATTTACTGTAAGAAAAAGTTTAGAGCAAAATGTCTTAATGCCAACTGTACTGTGGAAATAAAACTGTTCATATGATTAAACCTTTAAAAAGAAGCATGTCATCTGCAAACATGCTGAAACACTGCTTTTCCTCCCAAATTTGGGAAAACTAACTCACAAATTTTAAATGTTCCTAATAGCGCCACCAACATTTGTATGAATTTCAGAAATGTGGAAAGGATACGGGGAACTAAGAGAAAAGAATATTTTCACACCAATTAAAACTTAACCACTTTTCCCAACACTGGCACTCTTATGTTTAAAGGTAGGGCTGTTCTCAGATACAATGTCCTATAAAATATGTTTGACAACAAAGTAGTAAGTAATTTAGCCATTCAAAAATTTTCAGATGTCTGTCTGTCGATTTTAACAAATATGAAAAATTGTGATTAGAACATACAATCTGGAATCATCTGATCATTATTCTTAACTACTGTCTATTGGTTTGGGTTACTTTCAGATTCTGGGGCCTTTTAGCTATCTTTCCTTCAAAAGGATCTGAATAAAACAATTGTTGGAATAATTCTCCCCATGATATGTCACCTCTTCTTTTTGCCTTCCAGTCTTTCCTTTCACTTATGCCTTAGACATATTTTAACTGCTGATAACCACTGGACTTTAAAAAGTAACAATCTTGGACTAAACCTGTGTGGTACTTTCCAGGGTGGCTCTTACAGCACACTACTCACTGGATCAGTAAGTAGTAGGGGAAGAAGTATTTTTCCTCACTGACGGACACCAAAAGACTTGGAATTTTATCAATTATACAATTTTCAAGGTTAAAATGAGATATAAAAATTCAGACATTTCATTTATGTGCCTAAAAGAAATCTATATGGTCACCAAATATAATACAAACTTCTATTTTACGTGAAAAAATTTTTACTTAACTTATACAACATTAAGAATCAAAATAACAGATGAAGACTAACACCTCTACATCTTCAAATGGCAGAGCTCAAAAACAATCAAAATATTTCTTTTCATAAAACCATCATTATGTCTAGACTATTTTTTCATCAAGAACAAATGGTGGAAATATTAGACATTAAGAAACCATACTTACCTAATTTATGTTCACTTATCATAGAAAAAACTTGCCTTTGGGAATCCAATATATCTGGTTGGAATTTGCTATCCTTAAAGTCAAGTGGCCATTCAAGTTATTCATTCTCACTGATTCATCATTATTATTTTAAAATGCGGTATTACTTATTTTACAAGGTATGGTAAAAATTACATATGATTAGGGATATGAGAGTTCCTAGCACATACCAGATACAGTAGTCACTCAAAGGTTAGTTCTAATTTTCTTATCCTGATACTGCACCAAATGAAAAATAAACACACAAACAAAACAGCAAAAACCAACTTGGATCTGAGGACCACTTAACATAGTATGTACTTTATTTCTGTGAGTGATTCAGTGACGTCACATCTGTCACATAATAGTATTGAGACAGTCAGAAAACGTAGGTTCTACTTCCAGTAGAAGTTCCAAATGGCTCACTTATTTAAAAAAAAAATCTGTAAAGGGCTGGCACAGGCTCCTGAACTGCTTCCCAGCTTCAGAATCCTTGGCTCTATAATCCAATTACTACAGAAACAAAACAAATACATTCAACCCTCCATTGTAGTAAAACGTTTTAAGCATGCTCTTCAGTACACTGTCGCTAATACGAATGAGTCTATTTTAAAATTTGAAAAAAATCATAATTATCCATTTGGCAACAGTGAAATTTCCAAGCAAATTTGAAGATGTGTGTGCCAAATGACCCAACATTCCATTCCTTGGTATACATGCCCTAGAGAGTGTATATGTCCTTAGTAAAAGAATGACACTAAAAACTGCTTAGGAATATTTAAATGCTTCGGTGATTTCCGATTTTTTTCAAATTTCTTATTGCGCCGTGGCGTTAAAGAAGTTAAAGATTTACACAATAATGCAGCACAGCGTCCTAAGTATTCTTTTCAGTCTCGGCAAGCATTTAAAGATCATTAATCACGCAGTAACTGATTTAGTGTTGGGTAAACCCCGGGTCATTGGACGGCAGCGAGGGTGGGAAAGAGTGGGAATGGGAGGAGCCCCGGAATCGGGTTAGAAAGCTTTCCTAGCTAGCGGGGTGGCGTCAACCCCCGGCGCGGCAGGGAGAGCTGCCCACGGAGTGGAGGGGCGGCTGGCGGCGGACAGGCGCTGGGGGCGGCAGGCAGGCGCTGGGCAGCCGGCCGCCAACCACCCCACCTAGAGGCCGCGGGTGGGCGGGCACTCGGCGTCCACTCGGTCCGCGAGTCCCGCCTCTTCCCCTTACCACGTAGCCCCCCCACACGTAGAGGAAGTTTCCGTCCACCACCGCGCAGTGGCCGCTGCGCTCCTCGGCCACGCAAAACACCTGCGAGTCTTCCATCCGCGCCGTCACTGGGCCCGGCCGCTCCGCACGCTGCAGCCCCAGCCCTTGGAGATGCCTCTCCTCCCGCCCGGGTCCTCCACGCAGGAACGGAACGCGTCGAGGGTCGAGATTGGAGGAGGGCAGAAGCAGTGCGTCTGCGCCGTCCTGCAGCCACCCGAGAGGCCGAGCCTACGGCGGCAACGCCAGGGAGGGAGGCCGGGGGTCTGACTAGTGAGGGAGGTGCCTGGGCTCTGCGGACCCCTGCCGTGGGCCAATTTCGTGTCCCTGGGGTTGTGTTATTTTGTTAGTACTGTCGAACTGTATCTTATTCCCTGGATAAATGGGCTTTTGGCCCACGGGGGCTGATGTAGTAGTGACATAAATCAGAGTATTAATAAATACTTTGTGTTTATCTTTTGCACTCAGCCTCCAGCAGAGGTGGTAATCCACAAGAATGGTGTGTGTGTGTGAGCCTCGGCTGGGTAGCTCGGTTGATTAGCGTATGGTCCAACATTGCAGCTTCCATCTCTTGTCAGGGCACATGCAAGAAGCAGCCGATGAATGCATGTATAAGTGGAAACAAGGAATTGGTGTTCTTCTCTCTCTCCCTCTCAAATCAGTACACTTTTTTTAAAAATACCCAAAAAAGTGTATGTGTACTTCATAGACTTTTTTTTAAAGGAATTTTCTGAAACATACTGGCAAACTAGGCCTGGAGGTCAAATCCTGTCCACCACCCAATTTTGTAGAGTTCACAAGCCTACAATATTTGAGTAATTGAAAAAAATTCAGAAGAATGATGTTGTGTAACTCATGAAAATGATAATGAATTCAAATTTTAGTATCTGGCCCTGGCTGGTGTAGATTCAGTGTATTGAACAGGGGCTGGGAAACAAATGGTCTCCAGTTGGATTGCCTGCCAGTCAGGACACATGCCTGGGTTGCTGGCCAGGTCCCCACTAGGGGGAGTGCCAGAGGCAACCACACATTGATGTTTCTCCCTCTTACTCCTTCCCTTTCCCTCTCCCTAAAAATAAATTTTAAAAATCTTTAAAAAAATTTTTAAGCATCTATACATAAAGTTTTATTGGTACTCAGCCTCCCTAATTCTCTTATGTGTTATCTGTGGCTGCTTTTACACCACAACCACCTAGTTGAGTAGGTAGAACTGAGGAGTTGCAGCAAAGATCATAGAGTCCACACGACTGAAAACAGTTCCTCTCTGGGCTAACCCTTGTTAAAAAGTGATGTTACAGAAGTAAAACTAAGGCCAAGAGGGAAGATCATATTTCTACCAGTGCCTGTAAATGCACTTGTCCAAAGCCACTCTTCGAAGAGATTGTGGCTGCCCACCACGCAGAACAAGTTAATTCATTCAATTATTGACTATGCATTTATTAAGTGCCTGCTTGCTGTAGATAGTTGGTTCTGTGGCTGTATGGGACTGGAAAATTTGTTGACTAAGTCAATGAAAAAAAGTGAACTTTAAGATGCATAAGACATCGTTCTACTACAGGGACTGACAAAGTTCCACTACACAGGCTTCAAAGTCCAATCAGAGGGACAAATATGTAAAGAAATTCATGCTGTATGGAATGAGAAGTATAGTAGAAAAGTGGACAAAATACAGCAGAATAACAGGAAGGAAAGTTGTGATTTATTGGGAAAGGAGGTTCACAAGGGAGACACGAGTTTTTTGACAAACTGTAAATCAGAGGTGTCAAACTCATTTTCACCGGGGGCCACATCAGCCTCACAGTTGCCTTCAAAGGGCCAAAATAATTTTAGGACTGTATAAATGTAACTACCCCTTAACTGTTAAGGAGTTGTAATTACATTCGGCCCTTTGAAGGCAACCGCAAGGCCAATGTGCCCCCCGCCCCGCCCCCTGTGAAAGTGAGTTTGACACTTGTGCTGTATGACTAGAGAATGGCTGTGGGGTGCAGCCAAGGCTAAAGGTGGAATAGCTAATCACATGGCCTTGTTTGTCATGCTGAGTCTGAACTTTAACTGTAAGGCCAAGGGATCTTAAGCAAAAAGTGAATAATGTAAGTTGTTCATTAGAATACTCACTTTGGATGGTTGGACAGTCAGGCAAAAACATGGGTAGCACACAGCACTGCTCTGGTGTAAGCACGCAGCTAGATGCTCAATAAATGGTAATAACAGTGGTAGTAGTCATTGTCGTTATTAATATAGGTAACCTCTGTCCCAGGAATCCTCTTTCTACCTGTACTAGAATTCCAAAGCCCTCACCAAGATTTTTGTGAATTCTTAGAAGGTTTATAATCTCATAGTCCCCTCTGGCTTTAAAGTCCTACTGCTACGAGAATAATTCTTTTTACAGATTTATGCACACTCTCCCCATGAAGCATGCTAATTTTCTTCTCTGATGCATTACACCAAACATAAAATTCACAGGGTCCCCAACTCAGATTTGGGAGAGTCAGGGAATGTTCCCAAGAGAAAGTAAAGTATAAGCTAAGGCTTGAAAGATGAGTGGAAGTTGTTTAGGCAAACAGAGGTGAAAAGGGAGGAATGTGTTCCTAGCAGATGGAATAGGAGAGAAGGAAAGAGATGAGGACTTCCAGCCAAGATGGAGGCATAGGTAGACACACTGTGCTTCCTCACACAACCAAAAGATGAACAACAACAATTTAAAAAACAGAGAACAACCAGAACTGATAGAAAACCCAACTGTATGGAAGTCCAACAACCAAGGAGTTAAAGAAGACACATTCATCCAGACAGGTAGGAAGGGTGGGGTCAGGCAGCCAAGGCAAAGAGGACTCACTGCAAGGTGGTGGCTGGAGGACCCCAACAGGCAAGGCAGCAGCAGGAGGATCGGGTGAGGCAGCGGATTGGGGACTGAACCTTCCCATGTTCGCATGTAGATAAACCAGAAGAAACAACTGGGAGGAAAGACAGACTGCACAACCCAGGGTTCCAGCCCGGGGAAATAAAGCCTGAAACCAATGACTGAAAACACCTGTGGGGGTTGAGGCATCCAGAAAAACTCTCGGCCTTACAGGCGAGTTGGTTGGAGAGATCCACAGGGTCCTAGAATATACACAAGCCCACCCAAATGGGAATCAGCACCAGAAGGGTCCAATTTGCTTGTGGGAAGTGGGCAAAGTGACTGAAATCTGACAGAGAGTAGAGCAAGTGCCAGTGTTCCCTCTCGGACCCTTTCCCCACATACAGTGTCACAACCCAGCAAAGTGTGTTACCCCACCCTGGTAAACACCTAAACATACCGCCCCTTACTAACACCAAACACCGCCCCTTACTAAACATAACAGGGGCGTCAAGACAAAAAAACATAGCCCAAATGAAAGAACAGATCAAAACTCCAGAAAACATACAACTAAGTGACAAAGAGATAGCCAACCTATCAGAGGCACAGTTGAAAACACTGGTAATTAGGATGCTCAGGAAATTGATCGAATTTGGTCATAAATTAGATGAAAAAATGAAGGTTATGCTAAGTGAAATAAAGGAAAATGTACAGGGAACCAATAGTGATGGGAAGGAAACTGGGACTCAAATCAACAGTGTGGACCAGAAGGAAGAAAGAAAGATCCAACCAGAAAAGAATGAAGAAACAAGAATTCAAAAAAATGAGGAAGGGCTTAGGAACCTCCAGGACATCTTTAAACATTCCAACATCCAAATTATAGGGGCACCAGAAGGGGAAAAGGAACAGCCACGAGTGGAAAACTTATTTGAACAAATAATAAAGGAGAACTTCCTCAATCTGGTAAAGGAAATAAACTTCTAGGAAGTCCATGAAGCTCAGAGAGTCCCAAAGAAGGCGAACCCAAGGAGGAACACATCAAGGCGCATCATAATTACATTACCCAGAATTAAAATTAAGGAGAGAATCCTAGAAGCAGCAAGAGAAAAGGAGAAAGTTACCTACAAAGGAGTTCCCATAAGATTGTCAGCTGATTTCTCAAAAGAGACCTTATAGGCAACTTCATTGTCCCAGAGGTTGCTTACACTACACTCATTTTTTAAATTCTTTTTTTCGTATTCTAATTTTTTCTTCCTTATTTTCCAAATCATTGATTTGATTGTTGGCTTCATTTAACGATCTACAGTTTTTCCCTATATATTGATATACACTAATTTATCTCAATTAGTGTATCCTTCATTTCTGACTGCATCTTTTTTATGTTGCTGAGGTCTTTACTAAGTCCCTTGAGCATCCTTATAAGCAGTGTTTGAACTCTGCATCTGATAGATTGCTTAGCTCCCTTTTGTTTAGCTCTTTTCCTGAAATTTCGATTTGTTCTTTCATTTGGGCCATGTTTCTTTGTCTCCTATCATTTTGCAGCCTTCTTGTGTTTGATTCTATGTATTAGGTAGAGCTGCTATGACTCCCTGTCTTGGTAGTGTGGCCTAATATAATAGGTGTCCTGTAGGATCCAGTGACACAGCCTCCCCTATCACCCAAGCTGGGTACTTGAGGTGTGGCCTTTGTGTGAGCTGAGTATACCCTCCTTTGTAGTTGAGCCTTGATTGGTGTTGGGAGATCAATGGGAGGGATTTACCCAGACCAGTCAGCTGCAAGGATTGGCAGTGACCACAGACTACCACCCTCTGCCCTCTGTGGAGGATTAGCTGCACAGGGACAGAGTGGAGGTGCTCTGATGTGGTCTGTAGCTGCCCACTGGGTGTGCAGGCTCTGAAGTTTCCCAGGTGGTGAAGACCAAGGTCAGCTCCAATCTGTGATTTCCTGGGGGCCACCTTGCCTGAGCTATAAAGCAATCTGATATGGCTGCTACTTGTGCTGGGTTTGAAGATTCCCAGGCAAAGCCAAGCTGTAAATCTAGGGTGGCTGCTGCTAGTGCAGGGTTGGGGCCACTTAGCAAGAGGTATGGGGATTGGGGGTTCACTGAGGGCTGTGGTTGCTCATGGGAAAGGATTTAGTAAGTTGTGATGCATGAGCTAAGACCCACCATTCTTATGGAAAAGCCACTGTCAACAGCAAAAGTTGGGTGGAGTAGAACCTTGGGGGACCTCCGGGGAAGAGCAAACAGCATTAGCCAGGTTGATAAAGTCTAGATATGGCACCAGCTGGCTGGTTCTATGGCTTTGTGAATGGAGGGTCAAAAAAGGGACAATGGCCTCTGCCCACCTTTCTGTCTGGGAGAAAGCTGTCCCCCCAGCTCTGACCTTGATGCCAGACACTTCAGTTTTTCCCTGTATACCACTGGTGCCTTTTAAGCTGCTACCCCACTGCTGGAGCTCAGAGGGAGTGACTCTGTGTGTGGGTTGTTTAAGAGGAACTCCTTGGGACTCCAGAAGTTTCTTTCATTGACTCAGTCCCTCCTGGTTTTTGCAGCCAGAAGTTATGTGGACTTGTCTTCCTGGCACTGGAACCCTGGGCTGGGGGCCCTGGTGTGGGTTTGGGACTCCTCATTCCTGAGATATCCCTCCCAAATTTTTAGCCACCACATGTGGATGTGGGACCAGCTGTTCTGCGTCCTCACCCCTCCTCCCAGTCTGGATAAATGTGATTTCTTTAATTCCGTAGTTGTCAGATTTCTAGTCAACTTGATTTCTGATGGTTCTCAGCGATGGTTGTTCTACAATTTAGTTGTAATTTTGATGTGGTAATATGACAAGGTAAGCTGTGTTTACCTATGCTGCTATCTTGGCTGGAAGTTTATCTATTTTTATTTTCTCTCCTTTCTTGAAACCAGAAAAGTTGGCAGTTGTGCTGCCTGTCACCTACCAAACCCAGTAAACAGAGACAGGGATTGAATCTTTATGGGTACTTCATTCAGATGGCCTGAGATCTGAGAAGACGGTGGGTTTGTAGCCTAACAGATGATCTCAAATCCCATTTTCAACCAACACTTTTTATAAGGAGAAGAAGAATGTAGGTAAGGTGGTTGGAGTACAATGGCTCAGATACCATCTTGATGGCTTACAGTCTTCCTGAGGCACAAAGCTGGGACTGCTTATGGCCTCCTGGAGTCAAGGTGGGTCATAACTTCAGTTTCTAAAACAATAGCTTTTTACATACATTGATTACTAAGCTTATTAGCTATTAACTGAAAGTAAACATTTTCCCACATTTGAGAACCTGTCATTCTTACATAAAAATTTTGTCTTTATATTTCACTGAAAATATACAGAAAACTAGGTCAAAATCACTTTTCACTGTGATATTACATTACCAATTTAATATACAGTTAGGTATTTTGTTGTGAATATGCTTTTTTTTTAAGATTTTATTTATTTATCTTTGAGGGGAAGGGAAGGAGAGAGGGAGAAAAACAGCAATTTTGTATGGTTGCCTTTCGTGCGTCCCCTACTGGGAACTGGCCTGCAGGGAACCAGCCTGCAACCCCGGTCTGTGCCCTGACTGGGAATCCAACTGCGATTGTCTGGTTCACAGGCCTGTGCTCAATCCACTGAGCTACACCAGCCAGGGCCTGGATATGCTTTTAATTTTGTTTTTTTCTTGTATATTTTTTGAACATGTTAAACATCATGAGTTAACTGTTAAAACTTCACTACAAAGAAAGTTCTCATTGTCATCCTTATCCCTTCCTGCCCTTTATGGCTAACTATGTTTTAATGTCTAGTGTAGCCTTCCAGAGTTTTTTCTTTTTTTAATTCTCACTCGAGGATACATTTATTGATTAGAGAGAAGGGGGTAGAGAGACAGACAGACAGACAGACACACAGAGAGAGAAACATGGATGTGAAAACAAAACATCCATATCTGTTGTCCCACCCTGGATCCTGGTCTATAGGATGACCCTCCAACCAACCAAGCCACACTGGCACAATGGCCAGGGCCTGAGGGTTTTTTTTTTTAATGCAAAAGTAAATATATGTATACCCCTGCCCCCCACACACATATACACTCACTTCCCTTCCTTTACCATACTTTGCTTGTGTTTTTTAAGTTAACCATATACCCTGGAAGTTAATGTAAAACAGTACTTCATAATCGTCCTCATGTTTTATAAGGCTGTGCGCTCACCTATAAGCGTTCCATGGTTTTATGTAACTCACTGGACAAATCTTTTGAAGTGTGGCAGATGGTCAATCTACTTGTTGGAATCAGATTGAGGTCAAACCTAGATCCACCAATTTCTGAAACTTTCATTTTGAGCCAGCCATCTACTGTTTTTGTATCTGTTTTTCTCATCTGTAAAATAAGGATGTTGAAAAAGTAACACACAATTCATTAGCATTTATAAGCATACAGCAATTAATACACTTACAGCACTTATGACAATTTATGGCGCATAGAAAACCCTCAACTGGGACGGGTGGGAATATTGCTTTTTAGCAATTTCGAGGGAATGTCAGAGAAAATCAAGTGGCGACACAGAGTGCTTCCAGGGCCTTGTAAAATAGAAAGCATGAGTATACAGGACTCCCTGGAGTAAGTCCGACTGGAGTCACGGAGGGTCGAGGGCAGCGATGAGAATGACTCAGTGATGCACTCGGGACAAGGTAAGCACATTTCCAACCAAACACAGGGAAGGACGCTCTCGTCCTTCTGTGTAGGGCAAAACGGAGTTCAGGGTCCTGCCCTCCGTCAGCCTACACGGTTTGGGACTGCAGCCGGCAGACACAGCCAGCCGCAGGGCTCACAGGGACAGCCGCACCCGCCACGCGCGCTGCGCCCCGGAAACAGGGGATTGCTGCAGACGTAGCAGGTCGACCACCGCAGGGCTCAAGGGAAGGGGCGGAGCGCACGAGGGAAGGGGCGGGGCGCACGAGGGAAGGGGCGGGGCTGCGGCGGTGGCGCCAAAAAGCTAACATGGCTCCAGAGCGATTGAGGAGCCGGGTGCTCTCTGCTTTCAAGCTTCGCGGCTTACTGCTCCGGGGGTAAGTGAGATGGGTAGTTTGCGGGACCAGAGAGGAGAGCCAGGGCCAAGCCACCGCAAGGGGCAGCGGGACTCCCCGCGTACTGGGAGCGGTTTGACTTTAAGTGACAGAGAGCCTTAAAAAGTTCCAAGAAGCTAAGTGCTCTTGGCTGTGGTCAGGTTGAGATACCTTCCTAGGTTTCTCTGACGCTGGCACGGGGTCGGAAAGCTTCACTCAGGCGGGACGAGGCTTCCCTCTTGCAGGCACCAAACTGAGCCTGAGAAGTGGCGATCTGTGTGGCAGCAGCGGTTTACTAGCACAGTGACTTTGGCCCCTGTCAGACCGTGAAGTCTGCCTCCGCAAAATGGGAATCAGAGCAGCGCTGCAGAGCGTGGTCACTGAGACGTCAAAGGAGAGACCTGGGAAAGCCCATATGCAGTCAGTAACTGTCAAATTATATTGTTGCAGAAGTTGTAGGCTCTGCCAACCTTTCTAAGTTTGGACCAGGAATTCCTGGAGAGTAAAAAGTGGGTAGGTTTGATGCATGTTCCTAGGTCTCCTCCTGGGTCATTTCTTTTTCTGTTTTCTTTTTCTTCCCCCCACTCCCTCCCTGCCCCCCACTCCCTCCCTCCCCCTTTCCTCCCTTCTTTCATTCCTTCTCTTACAACTTCTCTGATAGGTTTCCTGGCCATACCTGTGTTTTCTAGGACCTACAGAATGAACCTTTCCAAGATTTTTATTAAATCCGCTTTAAAAGAAAAAGAATACAGTATTTACATCTTTGAATGCCTGCCAGATGGGATATACTTTCCTGTAGCAGGTTTTCATTACTCTAGTGTGTGAAGGGTTTTTTCGGTTTTTTTGTTTGTTTTGTAGTGATGAGTTTTATGGGACTTTCAACTTTGCCTTTGGGTTAGTAGTTAACAAGGGCAAGAATGGATATATTCTGGGAGAAAATAATGAATTTTACTCACTTGATCCTTGACATTTTGAAAATATAAGCAATTGGTCAATTTTTCTTTCCTTTCACTTAGAATTTGACCTAATATTAAGCTATCATTCATTAATTAATTGTGAGAAATACACTGAAATCTATTAGCTGAAAAGGGCTGTGCTAGAATAAGACAGTAGAAGAGAGTAAGACACTATGGAGCTTGGGAGGCAGACAGTGCATTAGTTATTTATTGCTGCATATCAAACTCCCAAAACGTACTAGTTTAAAACAGCACATACTTAATATTCTCTCACATTTCCCATCAGTCAGTAATAAGCAGGCTTAGCTGGGTGCTTAGCTTCCAGATCTCTCTCAAGGCTAAGTTGAAGTTGGGGTCATCTCCAATGTCAGTAGGGTAGGATTCACTTCCAAGCTTTTCGGTCCTTGGTAATATTGAGTTCCTCCAGGATTGTTGGGCCCAGGGCCTCAGTCCTTGCAGGCTGTTGGTCGGAGGTCACCCTTACTTCCTTACTATTCAGGCTCCTCAAACATGGCAGCTTGTTTTATCAAACCCGGCAAGAGAGTCTGCTCACAAGATGAAAGTCAGTCTTTTGTAGCCTAATCACGGAAGTGACATCTTGTCACTTGTAGAATTTTACTTTTAAAATTACAGTATAATGCAGTAAAATATTCTCTCACTTTTGCTATATGCTGTCAGTGAGGCAAGCCACTAGGTACAGCCTGCACTCGAGGATCGCACGTGGGTGTGAACCAGGATGCATGGAATATTAGAGGTCGTCTTAGAAGTCTTTATCTACCCTGGATAGTAAATCATTCACAATTATTTAACTTCAATTGTGAAAAGTATTCAAGGAAAAAGTGCTAGTATAATGTATTCTTGGGTGTATAAATAGCTCTAAAGTCAAGGAAGGGCTCTATTGAAGATTGATTTGAGCTGACTGTTAAAGGATGAGCAGGATTTAACTAGGTAAAGAAAAGTAGGGAGAAATGGCCATTTTAAGACCCTGAGTCAAGAGAGCACCAGAAAAATCAGAGACACTGGATGAGTCTAAAGAGACATGGTGGGGCCACATCCTGTATAGCTTTATGGGCTTTGGTCTATTCTAAGAGCTGTCCCAAGATTCATCCAAAATGCATGTGACTTTAGGGGCTCAACATCAAATACTTATGGGCCACCTTCAGTGTGCTTAGCACTCTGCCAAGGGATGACACTGTTCCATTTCTCAAGGAGTATCATCTATTGATACAATAAATTGGAGATATGTGATACCCACACATGAAACAATAAGCAACCTGAGATATAGAACAATTGTGTAATATTGATGTAAAGTGTAAAGTTGTGTGATACATACAGAATGGCATGTAATCAGCTAATTGTTTAGTACTCATTTTGAGCACAACTGGTATTTAAATTAGGGAATCGTGTAGTAATTTTTTTTTAAATTTCAGCTTTATTGAGGTTATTTTGTTGTTGGAGAGATTCATGTAATTTAATATGAGTGTTGCTTAAGTGTCTGTTATGTTCAGGACATTGAAGCAGAGGTAGTTCTGCCTTGAATGTAAGGTAATGAATTGCACGAGGCTAATGTAATGTGTCAGATCTAAGGTATATACAAGTGAGACTTAACAGTTTCAAGAAGGAAGGGGAGATTGCAGCAGGTAGGGCTGGGATAGGAAGGCTTCTTAAAAGAAGAATGTGATTTGGGGCTTAAGAACAGTTATGTTGACAGGGCACAGAAGGGAGAACTTGTTCAGTACCAGAAAGGTGGGTACTGCTTTCAGGCAGGAGTGAATGGATCTTAATTTCAATGCTAGATTGATGAGTGTTTGCCAGTTTTTGTCATAAAACTTTTAGCCTTAATTACCAAATCACCTGCCTCCTCTTTTCTCACTATCTCTTATCAGCGAAGCTATAAAATACCTCACAGAAGCTCTTCAGTCTATCAGTGAAGTAGAATTTGAAGATGCACTCGAAAAAATCATCGATGCAGTTGAAAAGCAACCCTGTAAGTAACATTCTGATAGCTCTTAAATTGTTAATATACTTCTACAGCCTCAATTAGACTTATAGATTGATTTTTTATATATTTTATTGATTACGCTATTACAGTTGTCCCATTCCCCTCCACCCTGCACACTCCCTCCCACCCACATTCCCCCCTTTAGTTCATATCCATGTGTCACAAGTTCTTTAGCTTCTACATTTCCCATACTATTCTTGCCCCCCCCCATCTATTTTCTACCTACCGTCTATGCTACTTATTCTCTGTACCTTTTCCCCCCCCTCCCCCTTCCACTCCCCTGTTGCTAACCCTCCATGTGATCTCCATTTCTGTTCCTGTTCTAGTTGTTTGCCTTAGTTTGTTTTTGTTTTTGTTAGGTGTGGTTGTTAATACTTGTGAGTTTGCTGTCATTTTACTGTGCATGTTTTTTATCTTCTTTTTCTTAGATAAGTCGCTTTAACATTTCATATAATAAGAGCTGGGTGATGATGAACGCCTTTAACTTGACCTTATCCTAGAAGCACTTTATCTGCCCTTCCATTCTAAATGAAAGCTTTGCTGGATAGAGCAATCTTGGTTGTAGGTCTTTGGATTTCATGACTTGGAATATTTCTTTCCAGCCCCTTCTTGTCTGTAAGGTCTCTTTTGAGAAATCAGCTGACAGTCTGATGGGAATTCCTTCGTAGGTAACTGCCTCCTTATCTCTTGCTGCTTCTAGGATTCTCTCCTTAATTTTAATCTTGGGTAATGAGATTATGATGTTCCTTGGTGTGTTCCTCCTTGGGTCCAACTTCTTTGGGACTCTCTGAGCTTCCTGGACTTCCTGGAAGTCTATTTCCTGTACCAAATTGGGAAAGTTCTCCTTTATTATTTATTCAAATAAGTTTTCCACTTGTCACTCTTCCTCTTCTCCTTCTGGTACCCCTATAATTTGGAAGTTGGAGCATTTAAAGATGTCCTGGAGGTTCCTAAGTCTCTCATTTTTTTGAATTCTTATTTCTTCATTCTTTTCTGTTTGGTTGTTTCTTCCTTCCTTCTGGTCCACTTCATTGATTTGAGTCTCAGTTTCCTTCCCATCACTATTGTTTCCCTGTGCATTTTCCTTTTTTTCACTCAGTGTAGCCCTCATTTTTTTCATCTAATTTGCAACCAAATTCAACCAATTCTGTGAGCATCCTGATCACCAGTGCTTTGAACTGTGCATCTGATAGGTTGGCTATCTCTTCATCACTTAGTTGTAGTTTTTCTGGAGTTTTGATCTGTTCTTTTATTTGGGCCATGTTTTTTTGTCTTGTCATGCTTGTTACCTATGAGGTGCAGAGCCTTAGGTGTTCACCAGGCCGGCGTAACCCACTTTGCTGGGTTGTGATGCTGTGTGTGGGGGAGGGGTCCAAGAGGGAACAATGGTGCTTACTCCACTCTCCATAGGATTTCAGTTCCTTCCACCACTTCCCCCAAGCAAACTGGGCTTTTCTCATGCTGATTCCCATTTGGGTGGGCTTGTGTACATTCTAGGACCCTGTGGGTCTCTCCAATGAACTCTCCTATGAGGCTGGGGGTCTCTCCCGGTACTTCAGTCCCCACAGGTGTTTTCAATCGGTGTTTTGAGGCTGTGTTTCCCCACACTGGGACTCTGGGTTGCGGGGTCTGTCTTGCCAATTTTGTCTGGTTTATCTGTGTGTGATTGTGGGACCACCCAATCAGCCAGTGGCCATGTGCACCATGCCCAGCTTCCCAATTGCCACTTCGCTGGGTTTGCCTGTTGCCACCCTGAGCCCAGGGTCTGCTAGCTGCTGCCTGCACGCCCAGGGTCTCTCTGCTGCCATCTTGCCCTCCAGTGTGACCCTTTTTTTCATGACCCCTCTCCACCTGGCTCCGCTCCTCCTACTGGTCTGGATGAATGTGTCTATTTTAACTCCTTGGTTGTCAAACTTCCATACAGTTCAATTTTCTGTCAGTTCTGGTTGTTATTTTGTTTCTAAATTGTTGTCCTCATTTCGGTTGTGCAAGAAGACACAGTGTGTCTACCTACGCTTCCATCTTGGCCGGAAGTCAGACTTATAGATTTAAATGGAAGTTGAGGATTCAGTATTTTTAAAAGATTTATTTGTTTGTTTATTTTTAGAGAGATGGGAAGGGAGGGAGAAAGAAAGGGAGAGAAACATCAATTGGTTGCCTCTGGCAAATACCCTGACCTGGAATCGAACTGCAACCGTTCTCTTTGCGGGATGACGCCCAACCAGCCAAACCCCACTGGTCAGAGTGATGATTCAGTATTAAGGTGTCCAGCCTTATGGGACATACCCCTGGTAACACACCTTCCCAAGGGGTAACTTCTTGTTCTTTTGGAACCTCAGAGACCCTTATACAGTTCTCCCCCCTCATGGAGCTGTCACCACCACATTTCTGTGCTTACCTTCTGATTTTGATCTGGTCCTTCATATTCACACTTGTCTTGCTGCGCATGCCTACAACTTTGTCTTACTTAACTTAGGTGCTCCTAAAAGGTGGAGTAAGGGAGCAGGACTGACTCCCTTCTTGCTTCAGCCTTTCTTCAGGGATCTTTTTAAGGCCCTTTTGCCACAATTTTGAGCCTACAAAGCAGGAATGCTCTTCCACCAAAAAAACAACCTCCCACCCCCCCAAAAAAAAACCCAGTCTACTCTTTCTGGAGCACTAAAGGTGAGAAGTGGGTGCAGCTTGCTTTCATATGATGGATAGATGTTGATTTCTTCAATTATATAGAAAGAAATCTGTTCTATGATATAGGAAAATTTCTATTATATCTCATGTTCACTTCTGAAGGCAGAATTTTAAATATAACTTTGTTTTCAAAAGTTTTTTTATAGTTGAAAACCTAGAAAATGATTAGATTTAGAAAGTGAGTATTTGTAAAATTAAGATGGCACATGATATTTTGCCTGAGAACATACCAAAGTGGTTCAGGGTGCCCAGTCTGGAATCAGACTTGCATTTGTGTTGCTCTCCAATCTTTCTGGCTATGCTCTTGGTCAGGTTGTTCAGCCTCTCAAAGTTGCACTTTCCCCATCTGTAGGATATGGGCATATGAACATCAGTCATAGAATGTCTCTCTAATGGGAAGTGCTTGTAAAGTACTGAGCTTGGTGCCACGCACACATTTACTAAGGGCTTAATAGGTGGTAGCTGTTACTGTTACTATTGTTACTGTCATGGCTACTGAAACAGCACATGTGATAAAAAAGTTATACTAATGTAAACTTATTATAAAAAAGTTATACTAATTTAAACTTATTAAACCTAAGAGCTTACAACTTTATTAAACAATAACTAGGACAGGAGGGCATTTGACTGTATATTAAGGTACTGCAAGTATATTTGAGTGTAGAAAATTAAGGTATTTGAAGTATGGCTTTGGTAATGTTCTAATAGTATTTTTCCTCCTAAAAACTCACTAATAAGAACTTCCAGGTGTGTCTTCAGATTATTTGTAAGAAAAAAGCTATCTGTGGGAAGAACTAATTTTTTACACTTGTTTTCAAAATTTGACTTTGAAATTCTCTCTTCAGTGCCATCTAACATGATCGAACGATGCGCAGTGGAAGCAGCAGTCCAGGAGTGCAGTCAGTTGGTGGATGAAACCATGTATGTGGAAAAAATAAACTCCCCCCCCCCCATGTTGGAGGTGTTACTGAGTGCTTATTTTAAATTATTTCCAGGGGGAAATTAATTAGTGGTCAACATTGCTGTAGTGGTTATATCTTAGTGTTTCCTTTAAAGTGATAGCCTCCATTATAAACCTCATTATCAGTTGACTCCTCTGTACTATTTTCTGCTAGGATTTGAGATAATCGTGTAGTTTGTACCGTGACTGCTTTTTACCTCTTACCCAGCATTATATTCTGTAGGTTATAAATGAATTGAATATTCAGAAGTATAATTGACTTTTGCTCTAAGGAAAGTGCTGAACCCAGAGGAGCTCAGAGGCTTAACTTGGGTCATGTGGTGAATGGCAAATGAGGTAGAACCTCAGTTTTATGACTTTCCCCTATTTGTGCTGTTAGAGCTTAGGAGTTAACATGCCAGTCATTTTTCTGGGTTTTATTTCTCTGAGTGTTCCCCTTTCTTTCCTCCTTTGCAAATATAAAAGTTCCTTTATAGTTGAAAATGTACAAAATTAGTATTTATAAAATTAAGATGGCACACGGTATTTTGCTTCTTTGAAAATCCACAGAGTTTAACTGGGAAAATATCTTTCCTATTCAGGGAAATGTAAATGATTGAAAGGATTCATTACTATCATTTTGGTCAGTAGTTTTAGTTCCCTGTCAGAACTAAGAGCTGCTAAAACAATAGAGAAAGTGTGGAGTTTTAACTTTATTGTTGGAAACAAGGTATTTAAGATACCAGAGTACAGTGATATACCCTTGAAGCCATCAATAAAAATTTTAAATGATTGTATCAAAATGTAAAGATGATAATCATAAAATAGGCATTAAAGTTCCCAGTTGTTTTTGTCTAGCTGTCGATATTTATTTATATGTTCCAGTCGGCCAGTGTAGAGGTCCCGTAGGTACTGAATGGTAAACAGTCTTTACAACTTCAGTTGTCAGAAAGTCACAGTATATCAGGAGAGAGGCCCTCATTTGTATAGATGAAGAAGTGCCACAATGCGTTCAATAACTTGCCAGGATTGATCCACTAGAAAATGGCAGAGCTGTGCATGCATATGCCAGGCTTTCTTCAAGTCGGGGATTCTCTGCTCCTCTCTGCTTAGTGCTACCACCAGGGTAGCGGGAATGTTTTTGACCATTTTCAGTTTTGGAGATAAACATATAATTTTATGGAAGGTTTTTTTTTTTTTTGGTTAGAATATTTATGCTAGTGCTGTGAGTTTTTTTAAACCTCTTTCAAACATGGTTATGTTATTAACAGTATCTGAAAGTAAAATGATTTGTTCATTTTCCTTCTTTGACTGTAAGTGTTTAGGATGTTACTAAAATTTGGGGGGTTCTTTTTCTATTTCATACCTTTTTCTGGGACATTTTTGCATAATATTTTGGAATAAAAAATTGTCAAAAATGAATCATCATTTAATAATATTCTTCAGAAAGTACTACATATGGGGAGAGATTTTATTCAAATATGACTTTTTATATCTAGATGTTCTTTTTCAACACATGACATTCCTCATTAGAAATTAACTTGACTATTTTTGTTTGCTTGGAATATCGGCAATGCTTTCTTGTGTTTAGGGAGGAAAATGCACAAGGTAAACCTTTGACTCCCATATATTTTTTTAGATATTATTTATTTTATTTTTAGACAGAGAGGAGGGGAGGGAAAAAGGGAGGGAGAAAGAAAGAGAGAAACATCAATGTGTGGCTGCCTCTCATGTGTCCTGGCCTGCAAGCCAGGCATGTGCCCTGACTGGGAATTGAACCAGCAACCCTGTAGTTCACAGGCTGGCACTCAACTCACTGAGCCACACCAGCCAGGGCCATATTATTTTTGACAGAATAAGAAATTGTGTATGCAACCTGTAAAAATAGCATGCATGTGTGACATGAGATTATAATGCAAGTTTTTCATCTAGAATACTTATGTTTTGTTAAATCAGATCTATGTTTTTGGGCATGTTTTTCAGAGAACATATTTTCAATATCATAGGAGCATTTGATATTCCACGCTTTGTGTACAGTTCAGAAAGAAAAAAATTTCTTCCGTAAGTATTTCATCTATTGATTTTAAGCTAATTTCCAAGTACACATATTTCTCAGAAGGTATATACTCTCATATTTCGTTTTTATCCTACCTTTATGTATTCTGATAGTCATAAATAGGCATTCCTTTTTTTCTAGTCTATTAATGACCAACCACCCTGCACCAAATTTATTTGGAACAGCAAGAGATAAAGCAGAACTGTTTCGTGAACGATACACCATTTTGCACCAGGTAAGTTGTGGGGGAGGGGAGAAAGAGACCATTTCCGCTTAGGTAAGACTTGAGGATAATTAAAGGATGGACTTTTGTAGTCTAAAGTTTGTCATTCAATAGACTGTTTCTGGGCTCCCTCTGTTTAAGAGCCCAATGTAAGGGATATAGAAATAAAAAGATATTTTCCCCTTAGCAATCAGGATGATAAAAATAGTAGCTAACATTTATTACATGCTTTTGTTATGCCAAGCATTGTTTATCACTTTATGGACATTATTTACCTTATTTAATCATCATAATCTCAATGTAAATATACATGCCACTGTTCCCATTTTACAGGTGAGGAAACTGAGATCTAGAGAAGTTTAGTAACTTGCCCAAAGATCATATCTAGTAAGTAGAGACAGGGTTTTAATCCAGTCTGTCTGAGTCTGGAGCCCAACCTTTGCCTTCTACTTTAGACTTCTTTCAGGCAGCTATTGTCTATGAGTTAAAGACATTTGCACGAATAAAATATAAAGTAGAATTGTATACATGCTCCACAAGAGATACTAACATTCATTCAATGGAAAAATCAGGGAAGTCTTCAAGGAAATGACGGCACTTGATGTGGGCACTGGTTGCTTTGCTCTTGTGGCAGTAGGGAATATGTGGTGTGAACACAGGCACAGCAAAAGGAAAAAGTGCACTCTGTTCAGGACATAATGAACAATCAGTCCACTTTGTGTGGAGAGGAAGGCTCATGAAGAGGAGCATTATGGGATAACTTGGAAAGGCAAGTGGAAGCCAAACTGTAGGTGTGCCTTAGATGGCATTCTTGAGAGTTGGGCCTCTGTTCTTTTGGTACAAGGAGCTTTAGAATATCAGAAAGACTCAGTTGAAGCTGGGGGTTTTTTAGGCTTTTTCTACCAGAAGATTTTTTAGGGTTAGAGCATGAGAGAAGACTCAAAAGAGTCTGTGGTATTAGTCCTGGCATAAATGATAGCCAGGAGGAAGGATATGGCAAGTGCAGCAGAGAAGGGAACAGCACCGGGCCGGTGGAAGCCATAGTTCATGGTGACTGGCTGGATGTGAAGGAGAAGGGGGAGAGGGAAGACTCAAAGATGGTTAGGGTTTTGAAACTGAAAGAGTACGATAAAATGTTAACAAATAGGAACAAGAGAATGTTTGAGGAAGATGATGACAGGTTCTGTTCAGAACATTTGAGTTAAGTTCATAGTAGGCTATCAGGTAAAAGGTTTGTCTGGACCAAAGAAATCCATCTGGGTAGAGAGAAATTTAGGGTGCATCTGCCTGCAGTGATAGATGGACCTATTCAGAGGCGGGATCCTGAGAGGAAGATGCAATAGAAAAGGGAAGAGAGTAGAATTTGGGGACCAGGCTAGGATGGTGTTACATGGCAGAAACAAAAAGGTTCAAGGAGGAGAGGACTGACAACAGGCATAGACAGTGAAAAGGCTGAAGAGAATGAGCACCAGCATGTCTGTTCTGTCCTTCCTTCGCCTGCATAATGCTGCCAGGCTGACCTTCCTGAAATGGAGCTGTGATCATGGCACGACTTTGCACAGAATTCTTCCCAGGAGATCTACTGCCTATTGAATTAAATGGAAATTATACTTAATATTTGAGATGTCACACAATTTTGGCCTAATCTCTACTTTTCCTCTAATCATACCATACTAGAGCCAATACTGAAGTTTGGAATTATGGTTTGTTTTTTCCATTGTTCTGTGACTTTGCTCAGACCTATTTACTCTTTAGACAGCTCTTCCCTTTTATCTCTGTTGTTGAAACCCTCCTAATTCTGGGCGGCTGTTCTCGAATTCCTCTTCTTTTCTGAGACCCTTCTTGATCTCCAGTTTGTTGCAATTTCTTCCTGTTCGAACCACTGACTACTTACTAGTTCCCCTACGCAGCTTCCTGGCGCTGGCCCTGCCTCCCATCGGCATTTATCCCTGTTATCAACTGCAGACTCCTCGTTTGTTTCCGCTGCCCCATTGGGTGCAGTGCTTTTCAGACGGGATGCTTGGTAAATACCACATTGGTTTTAAAGTCTATTATATTATTTTGAGTGTGTCACTTAACCCCCTGAGCCTCATTTCTTCTCATCTTTGAAATAAAAGGGTTACATTTTATTTTAGTCCATTCATATTTTCATCACAATTGTCTTCCTGAAAGAAATCTGATTTTATTGTTATTCTACTTCAAAATTGTTGTTTTCAGACTTCTGGCCAAGGTGGGGCATAGGTGGAAATACTATACTTCCTCACAGAACCAAATTTAAGGACCAACAAAAATTTAGAAACAAAAACACAACCAAAACAGACAAAATTGAACTGTACTGAAGTTCGACAACAACGAACCATCCAGACTGGTAAGAGGGGTGGAGAGACTCCCAGCCTCACAGGAGAGTTCGTTGGAAGGACCCATAGGGTCCTAGAACGTACACAAGCCCACCCACCCAGGAGCCAGCACCAGAGGGCCCAATTTGCTTATGGGAAGAGACAGAGGGGACAGAAATCCAAGAGAGCATGGAACAAGTGCCATTGTTCCCTCTCGGACCACACCACCACATACAGCATCACAACCCAGCTACTGGGCTGCCCGGCCCTGGTGAACACCTAAGCAAAAATGGGCAACAAGACAGACCACACAACCCAGGGCCCCAGGGCAAGGAAATAAAGCCTAAAAGCACCGACTGAAAAGGTGCCGGCTTGTGCAAAATGGAAGAGGGGACTGAAATCTGAGAGAGCGTGGTACAAGCGCCATTGTGCCCTCTCTGACCCCACTCCCATATACAGCATCACAACCCAGTGTCATGGGTTGTCCCATGCTGGTGAACACCTAAGGCTCTGCCCCTCATACATAACAGGTGCAACCTGACCAAAAATGACTCAATCAGAAGAACAAATTAAAGCCCCAGAGCCAATACTTTTAAGCGACCAAAAGATAGCCAACCTATCAGATACACAGTTCAAACCACTGGTGATCAGGATGCTCACAGAACTGGTTGATTTTGGTTGCAAATTCGATGAAAAAATGAAGGCTACACTAAGTGAAATGAAGGAAAATGCACAGGGAAACAATAGTGATGGAAAGAAATCTGGGAGTCAAATCAGTGGAGTGGACCAGAAGGAAGAAAGAAACAACCAAACAGAAAAGAATGAAGAAACAAGAACTCAGAAAAATGAGGAAAGGCTTAGGAACCTCCAGGACATCTTTAAACGCTCCAACATCTGAATTACAAGAGGTACCGGAAGGGGAAAAGGAAGAGTAACAAGTGGAAAATTTATTTAAACAAATAATACAGGAGAACATCCCCAATCTGGCAAAGGAAACAGACTTCCAGAAAGTCCAGGAAGCTGAGAGTCCCAAAGAAGTTGGACCCAAAGAGGAACACACCAAGGCACATCATAATTATATTACCCAAGATTAAAATTAAGGAGAGAATTCTAGAAGTAGAAAGAGATAAGGGGACAGTCACCTACAAAGGAGTTCCCATCAGACTGTCAGCTGATTTCTCAAAAGACACCTTACAGGCAAGAAGGAACTGGAACGAAGTATTCCAAGTCCTGAAAGGCAAGGACCTACATCCAAGATTGCTCTATCCGGCAAAGCTATCATTTAGAATGGAAGGGCAGATAAAGTGCTTCTCAGAGAAGATCAAGTTAAAGGACTTCATCATCACCAAGCCCTTATTATAGGAAATGTTAAAGGACTTATCTAAGAAAAATAAGTTAAAAAATATGAACACTGAATGGACAGCTAACTCAGTTATTAATAACCACACCTAAGACAAAAGCAAACTAACTGTACTCCTAAAACAGCAGCGAAGCCACAGAAATGGAGATCACATGGAAGGTTAGCAACAAGGGAGTGGGAGGAGAAGGGGGGAGAAGTACAGAGAATACGTAGCATAGACAATGGGGAGAAAATAGGGGAGGGCAAGAGTAGTGTGGGCAATGCAGAAGCTAAAGAACTTACGACACATGGACATGAACTAAAGGGAATGTGGGTGGGAGGGGGTGTGCAGGGTGGAGGTGAATGAAGGGGGGAATGGGACAACTGTAACAGCATAATCAATAAAATATGTTTAAAAAATATTTGTTTTCCATTGTCTGTAAGGCAAACTTCTTTGCCTGGCATGCAGTCTGTGCTGTCAGGGTTTTTTTATTGGAGGTTACAGAAACTCAAATTGACTGGGACAGGAAAAAGTCTGGAGGTCCACCATGGGTTGACCCAGGTGCCCACACAAAATCATGAGGCATCTACCTCTTTCTATGTCCCAGCAACTTTAAAATTCATTTTACTTTCTAACAAGTTCTGAGGTGACAGAGATGGCCATGAGTAACACTAGCAACCGTTTTTTATTGGCTCAGCTCGAGGCCCTTGCTCAGTCCTGAACCAATCACTGACCAAAGGAGTACCTTGATTGATTAGGCCATGGTGGCCCGTCTATAGAAGGGGGAAAGGGCAGCAACTCTACCTAAACTGCATGGACACACAGCAGAGCAGGGAGGGTTTTCCAAACAGAGGCTCCAGCTTATCTCTTGCCTTGTCTGACATACTGCCTCACCTCATGTTGTAACGGTTCCTAAATACTCCTTTACTCTTAAAACTCTTTCATGTGACACATCCCTTCCTTTGCCCAAAGTGTCTTGCCTTAGCCTCCTTTTGTTTCCTACTAGCAAAGTCTTTTTTATCTTAGAATCTGGTTAAATGGCCCCTTCGGCCAAGGCTCCTTTTTATTTTGTATTGTGACCTCTAGGCACTCTCTCTCACTGGCCCCCATGCTATGAGGATGACAGCTTGGTTTGTTGTCGCCATGTCTGCACGCCAGAGTGTGCTGCTGCCAGGTACACAGGAGACTTAAAATGTTTTAAATAATTTCTTTTTTATATTTTAAATTACATTATCTAGATTTCTACATTCAGTTATGTGGATTTTCAAAGTTTAGAATAGATAATGGAGACATTAAGTTTAAGGACCGTGTTTTGTCAGGGTACTATTTTAATGAATCCTAGTTTTAAATGTCTGCTTCGGTAATTCATGGGAACCTTTCTTTCTTACAGAGGACGCACAGACATGAACTGTTTACTCCTCCAGTGATAGGTTCTCACCCTGATGAAAGCAGAAGCAAATTCCAGGTGAGAACATTGTCCTGGTTATTTAGGGGGTATAAGTGTACAAGTTTAATATTTATTGCTTATTCTGATTTATTGAATTGTAAATGAAGATGAACCACTAGTAACTGTTTAACTAGCTAACTGATCTGTGCCTGTCTACTGTTGATAAAGTCCATGTCCTAAGTCCTGGGTCCTACAAACCTCTAGTAAAAGCAACAATTTCCTTCTCTGGGGCAGGCCCTGCAGCTGTGGTAACCCCAGATAGTCTCCGGCCACAGGACAGATCCCTAGTTCTCCTGGTCCCTTTGTTATATACTATACTGGCTTTCTGTCCAACCCTCAACATTGCCCTTCACCCTCACTCTTACTCCAAAATACTGGTCCTTGTCCAGCCCATCCCTCTAATGATCACCACACACTTGTTCAACTACAATGGACCATATCAGTTGGAGTGATAACTTTATATGGGTACTAAAGAAACAACATTCATCGAATGAATGAGAGAGTCCGGACAGGCCACAGGGTTGTGGGGACCCAAGGAGCAGAGGTGAGAGGGATAATTTCTTCCATGTGTGTGCCTTCCATTTTTATACTCTTATACCTCGGAAAGTGATGATCAACCAGCACTGTCGCTTTTGTTCTAGCAACACACCTAATCACTGTCAGTCCATCTGTGGCTCTGCTCTCTTCTCCAGCACACAGAACCCACTGGGGGACAGTCCTCAGCTACTTGTGTCGGGGCCCCACCATTTCTGCAAGGTTCCAAATAGGTTCTAAAGAGGCCCAGTCTCTTCTAAGGTTCAAATTCTCCACCAAGTTAGATCAGAAATCATGATGATGAGTAGTCTGATAGATTCTGAAATAATAATACCAGATAATGCCCAAATTAATGTTTGATGACACCATAAGGACAAGACATAGTATTTGACAGTTTTTGCTTTTAACTTTTACTAAGAAAAAAATATAGTATATTTTGGAAACTGATATTACCGATTTTTCTCATACACACACATACAAGGTTTCCTATGGCAACTCAAATACCCATAGTATGGAAGCAATATTTCTCTTCTCCTCTTTGCCAAAGTAACTTTAAGACTTAATTAAGTATTATATTCTTTTCAATCTTTCCAAGCTGTTTAACTTTGTATCCCTGATGGTACCTTCCCTACTTGAACTGCCACTTATAATATCTATATGGCGATCTCACTCTATGGGCTGCAGAAATGGTGTCCTTGGAAATCCTTAATGAAGTTTTGTACTCCTGTGTTGCTTGCTTGCTTCATTGATTGGTTTTATGTGAATTTCAATATTTTCCTGTCTTTAAATTGTATTTTTATTCTCTTAATTGTCTTTTTTAAGAACCTAAGTTTTTAATTTGTTGAAGTCCAACTAACAGTTTTTTTTAATTGGATAATATTTTTGGCATTGTTTTTAAGAAATCTTTGCCTAACCCAGTTTTTAGGATACAGATCTAGTATTTATTTTTTCATATTTATCCTTAAGTATTTCATTTTGTAAAAAAACTATTTTAAAAGTACATTAAACTCCTGTGTTGTTTTAGGTTCATGTTTTTATTTTTATTTTTTAAAAAGATTATTTATTTATTTTTAGAGAGGGGACGGGAGGGAGGAAAAGAGAGGGAGAGAAGCATCAATGTGTGGTTGCTTCTTGCATGTCCCCCACGGGGGACCTGGCCCAAAACCCAGGGATATGCCCTGGCAGGGAATTGAACCAGCGACCCTCTGTTTGCAGGCAGGTGCTCAATCCACTGATCCACACCAGCCAGGGCTAGGTTCATGTTTTTAAAGAGGAACTCCAATATGAAATTTAACAGTTATTATTTTGGGATGATGGGATTACATATGCCTTTATTCTCTATATTTAAAATTTCTCTCCTTTGTTAAACATCTATTCTTTGTAATACATACCATTATGTAATAAAGAAGAAAGAAGGTCTATCTGGTAATTTCTGTAAAAATGAAAAATTATATACCCATTCATCCAGCGGTTGTTTAGCTTTTTGTAAGTTGAAATTATATTTTCTAAGTTTTATTTGATTTTCTACTATAAAGTAGGTATAAATACAGAAATGTACACTCAAAATTAATTATTAAAAGATTATTTTCTTAAGAGAATATATATATATATATTTTAATTTTTATACCTTGAGAGAGAGAAAGAGAAACAAGGATTTGTTGTTCTACTTATTGTTACATTCATTGGTGGAGTCTTGTATGTGCCCTGAGCAAGCATTGAACCCACAACCTTAGCATATCAAGATGATGCTCTAACCAACTGAGCTACCCAGCCAGGGCCAGAATATATATTTTTAATCTTTAAGGATTTATTTTGTTTTATTTTAGCTTAAAACAATAGAAACCCTATTGGGCAGTACAACGAAAATTGGAGATGTAATTGTTCTTGGGATGATAACACAGTTAAAAGAGGTAAGTTAAACTTAATAAGCATCAACTTTTATGTGCACCCTTTAGAATGATGAAATGTCAGTTACATATAGCATTTCTACAGAGAATAGAGGAGCGTAGTCATAACTGAAAGCTCTTACCTCAATTATCAAGTAACATTTCCATCTGTGTATGCTTCCCTGGTAGACATCAGGAAAGAGTTTCTTACACTGGCCACCAGATTCCAATAATCTGAAATTAGTCCCCTATTGACCTCTGGGTTGAGCTGAGCATACTGAATTTCTGAGAAAGCAAAGCTTCAGACCACATCCTGGTCCCTCGGAGACACTGTTGACTCTCTTAGGTGAAGGCTCTTATTGCAGCCAGGAGGTGTCTTTCATGCCATCTCCTGATCTTCAGTGGTTATTCTTTAGGTACCTAGGCATCTCAATTAAGTGATTAGTCTGAAGTAACCAGGCTAATAAATGGAAAAGCCTGGACTAGGAATTGTTGAGTTTTGAGGTACACCGTACTTTCTGCTATATTGTTTTGTCAAAATCATCAGTGTTTTAATTATTTAAACACAGTATTCATTTTTACATAATAGTGTAGATATGACTTTTATTTTGTTTTTAGGGAAAATTTTTTCTGGAGGATCCAACGGGAACAGTACAACTGGATCTTAGTAAAGCTATATCCTTCACTTTTATTTTTTAAAATCTATGTCTTTTTAAATCTGTGAATTACAGAAATTGATTATATGTCACTCTCAAATTTAGCTGTTTGGTTTCCTAATGTAACTTTCATGTGGTGGTGGTGTCGGAATTTAGAGACATAGGAAATTTTTTTCCTCAACCGTGTGTACCAGTTTCACAGTGGTTTATATACAGAGTCATGCTTTGTCTTAGCAGAAGGTAAGTCAGTCTACTTTCCTCTGTCCTCACCATTCTCCAGTAAAACCATTTCCACATTGGTTAAAGTATGTTAATATGGTATAACTGGGAGAGCATTCATTATGAGAGCGTACTTTCAACAACTTTAAATAAGTCTCAGACTGCTAATTGGCACAGGTTTCTTTTTGGGTTGATGAAAATATTCTGAAATCAGTGATGTTGTTTCTACAACTTGTTATATATTTAAAAACCACTGAATTATATACTTTTAAAGGTGGATTGTATGGTATGTGAATTATATCTTAATAAAGTTGAAAACAGATTTTAGATAGGGTCATAAAATGAAACATTTCCTAATCCATGTACCTTATCTCTTTACTGACACAAGTATTGTGAATAAAATGAAAAGTTTCAATTCTGAATCTATTTCTATTTCATGTTTTTTAATTTTTTTAAAAAATAGAACTGAGATTGTCTCTGGATCTAAAGTTGTTCTCTAGCGCAGTGGGAATGACCCCTTCTGTAGTCAGTTGACAGGGGATGAGATGATAGCCTGGCTTCACTGCTGTGTGTTTTATACTTTTGTCCTTTCAAACGAGAAGGAGAATTGAACAAATGAAAGTGACTTTTTTACTTACGTTTTTTCAGGTTGGTTTGAAGATCAAGTGTTTCACGTCAATGCCTTTGGATTTCCACCCACTGAGCCCTCTAGTACTACTAGGTACAAATATGTTTGACTTAAACCCTGCAGCAATGTTGTAATACTGGCAGTAATGAATGTAAGGTAGTATATATACCATGTCTCAGTTATTACAAGGCCTTAAACTTGGTGGCAAAATGCAAAGAGCAGTGGAAAATTGGAGTAAGAATGGGTATTATATGTAACTGAAAACTACTGGATTGACCCCAGGTAGTTGCAAAAGCATCTCTGTACTTTTATCTTTAACTGGGAAAGAATTCCAATTGACCTGTATTACTTGGATGTAAGGTCGATGAGATAAGAGCTAGGAAAAGACTTAGGAAAAATTAATTGCCGTGTTAATATAAAGTTCTTATTTTTGTATTCAACTAATGAGTGAAAGTTAAAAGAGGCAGATTCTGTAGCTCTTTAATATAAATGAAAGTATCATAATATTAGAAATTTCCAAGAGGGCCTTCTCTGAGAGGAGTGAGTTCCTGTCACTTTAACTAACTGAGCAGAGACTGAATGGTGGAATAAAAATGGTAGCTGGTAGGCTATGGGTTGAATTTAGTCTACAGATTCTCTCTCTCTTTTTCTCTCCCCTTCCTCTCTCTCTCTCCCTTCCTCCTTCCCTCCCTTCCTTCCCCTTTGCGGTGTGAAAATACATTTTGAGTTAGTTCCAACATTTAGAAATAGGAGATTTCTCATAAAACTCTATATTTCTGAGTTCTCTCAAGCCATTGATCTGGTGACATGGTGCCTGAATTCTCACCTGGCTACAACCCTACTGCAGTGACCACCTATTTGGGGCAGGTTATGTGTGTGCAACCTAGCTCATATCTAGTCAGCCCCAGTTGGCAGCTGCTCCGATATCTGTGTTTCCTTCCTGAAGCCTATATGCATTTGAGTTTGCTCCTCCGAGAAATGAAAGTTCCTTTCTAACTTGAGATTCTATTGTGAAGGTAAAGATTTCAACACATGTAAGGATTGAGATGTTAGTTCTGCATACCTGTATCAGTTCCGGTGCAGAGGTCGGGTTTCCTGCCTGGGGGTCATGGGCAGGCAACCTTTATGGTGCAGCTCCTCTTCCTTTGAAGCAATTTGGGGACAGTGCTGGTCACACTAAGGAGAACACAAGCCTTCATCAAGCCAGCTCGCTTTTAAGTGAATGTTTTCAATGCTAGTTTGTGGCTTTTTACTACATGGTAGGTCTTCTTTGAAATATATTTCAATCAAAATTGTTCTCTTAGTGTTTTAGATTGAAAATTACTACTCGGGAATGAGAGGTATAGTTGAGGAAGCTGGCAAAGAATATTACCATTTGGCCCTGGCTGGTGTAGCTCAGTGGATTGAGCGCAGGCCTGTGAGCCACACAATCGCGGTTCGATTCCCATCCAGGGCACATGCCTGGGTTGCAGGCCAGTTCCCAGCAGGGGGACTCACGAGAGGCAACCATACATTAGTGTTTCTCTCCTTCTCTCCTTCCCTTCCTCTTTAAAGATAAATAAATAAAATCTTAAAAAAAAAAAAAGAATATTACCATTTGCTTCAATTTAGCAAAGAGATTGTCATTATGTCCCAAATATTTAATTTAAATTACGCCATTTTCTCTAAATTGAACTGTTTTGCGTGTGTTTAGTACACCAAAGACTGGTATGAGGTGTCATAAAGTACATTAAAATAAAATAATCGTTTTATTCCGTTAGAATTGTAAATTACTTTTCTCTTAAACTAACTTCCAAATAAAATTCAAAGGGCTGTATTCCAGTGGTAGTTAGTGGATTCAACAGCAGACATTTTATTAAGTAATTTAATGTGTAAAAATACTGTTTTAGGGATACAAATAAGTACACTTAAGCCTACAACATGATCCTATCCCAAAGGGATTCACACTAACCTAATGCCTTCTTCCCACTATTGGACAGTTTGTCGTATAATTTTTTGGAATACAGATTTGCCAGAACTGCACTGCTATCTTCATCAGACTTTCCCTGGTACAGGGCATGTGACTTGTGTTTTCTGAGTCCAAGGTGGTATTAGAATTTCTAGAATATTTCTTTTCAGATTTGACAACTTAGGAAAAAGGGTACCGTCAGGCCTCCATTTGCACCTTATGTCCCATGGACCACGGACAGCAGAGGTTAGCAGGGTCCTTCTGGGCTTTAATTATGAAGAATCAGTTTAATACGTATTTCTTTCTGTGATACTCTGGTTTATGCTTGGGTGTATATTTTACTTGAAGTCACCATACAATTGTATCGACTTACTGCATTCCTCTGTAACTGCAAGATTATTACTATAAGAGCATACCTTTGAAAATGCCAAATACTTTTGGTGGCAACAGTAACAGCTGCCATGTCTGAGTGCTCACAATGTACTAAGCCCTGAACCCTAAGAGTTAGTCCTAACATACCTCCATATTTTCACAATTCTAGGATGTAAGTTAGTCTTTGTAGAATTCCTTGATTCCTTAGAGCAAATGTTTAGAAGTGGAATTGTTTGGTCAAATGGCTAGCACCCTTTTTGAGAACTTTAATTGGATATTATTCAAACTGAGTACCCATTTCTCTTTCAACTACGTGGAAAACTATGATTTATTTTAGTATTTGCTTTTGTCAGTTTTGAAAGGCACAGACACAGCCTATTAAGAATTTTAATTACTACTCTGTATTGCTCCTTTTCTGATTTTAGAATATTTAAGTAAAGTTTGCTACAAATAATACATTTTCATGGTACTATATACATTGATGGAGAAAAAAATCTCATGAGATAGTAAGAAGGTTAATTTGTAAAATTACAAAAATATTTCCAATAGAATATAGAAGATAATCATTATGTTATAATTACGTAGGGCATACTATGGAAATATTAATTTTTTTGGAGGGCCTTCTAATACATCTGTGAAGACTTCTGCAAAACTTAAACAACTAGAAGATGGGAATGAAGATGCCATGTTTGTGTTTCTATCTGATGTTTGGTTGGACCGAGCAGAGGTGCTGGAAAAACTTCACACCATGTTTTCCGGTAGGTTTCATTTTTTTAAATTCCTTTTGAACTGTTGTGGAGATCATGTTTTAAAACTAAATTCTTTTAAAAATGTGGTTTTTTTTAAACAGTAACCTATTTTTCTAACAAATGTTAAATCAGCACTGAGATATTTTAAATGAGTTCATCTTTAAGACTTACATTTTTACATTTGAAAAATAACTGTATGTGTGTGTGTATTCATGGTATATAAAGTTAGTGTAAAAGTGGATAAGAGCTTGGGCTATGGATTTTGACAGAGCTGGGTTTAAGTTACAGCCTAACACCTGGGGCAGATTACTTAATCTTCCTCAGCTTCTAGGGATGCTCTGAGGCATAATCAACACGATGCAGGGCTAGGCACATACAGAATAAGTGCCGAATGGACCTATTATTATAATTACTTTAAAAAAATTTTTTTCCTAGTTAAGAAAAAGAAGTTTACTTAAAAAATATATTTATAATGATCAAGCATATGAGAAGATGCTCAATCATAAACTCAAACAATGCATTATTTTTACCTTTTATATTGGCAACTTTAAAAAGTAGTTTTTTTAAGTATATTTTATTAATTATGCTATTACAGTTGTCCCATTTTTTCCTCCTCCTTTATTGCCCTTTGCCCTGCAGCCCCTCCCACCAGCATTCCCCCGTTCCTTAGTTCATGTCTATGAGTCATACATGTAAGTTCTTTGGCTTCTCCATTTCCTATGCTATTCTTAACCTCCCCCTATTTTGTACCTACCATTTGTGCTTCTTATTCCCTGTACCTCTTCCCCCATTCTCTCCCACCCACTCCCAGCTGCTAACCTTCCATGTAATCTCCCTTTCTGTGACTCTGTTCCTGTTCTGGGTGTTTGCTTAGTTTTCGTTTCTGTTTTTTAGGTTCAGTTGTTGATAGTTGTGAGTTGTTATTTTACTGTTCATGTTTTTTATCTTCTTTTTCTTAAATAAGTCCCTTTAACATTTCATATAATAAGGGCTTGGTGATGATGAATTCCTTTAACTTGACCTTATCTGGGAAGCACTTTATCTGCCCTTCCATTCTAAATGAAAACTTAACTGGATAGCGCCATCTTGGATGTAGGTTCTTGCCTTTCATGACCTGGAATACTTTGTTACAGCCCCTTCTTGCCTGTAAGGTCTCTTTTGAGAAATCAGCTGATAGTCTGATGGGAACTCCTTTGTAGGTAACTCTCTGCTTTTCTCTCGCTATTTTTAAGATTCTCTCTTTATCTTTAGCCTTTGGCATTTTAATTGTGATGTGTCCCGGTGTGGGCCTCTTTGGGTCCAACTTGTTTGGGACTCTCTGTGCTTCCTGGACTTGTAAGTTTATTTTCTTCACCAAATTAGGGAAGTTTCTTTCATTATGTTTTCAAATAAATTTTCTTGCATTTCCTCTTTTAGCATCTCTGTGCTTCAGATGTTGGGATTTTTGGAGATGTCCCAGAGTCTTCTTATATACTCTCCTCATTTTTTGTTTGTTTGTTTGTTTTTGAATTGTTGTTTCTTTATTCTGTTCTGGTTGAATGTTTATTTCTTCCTTGTGTTCCAAATCATTGATTTGAATCCCGGCTTCCTTCCCTCCGCTGTTGGTACCCTGTAGATTTTTCTTTATTTCGTTTAGTATAGTCTTCTTTTCTTTCCTTGTTTTTGCAGTACTCAATGATTTCTCTGAAAGCATCCTGATCACCAGTGTTTTGAACTCTGCATCTGATAAGTTGACTATCTCTGTTTCACTTAGTTCTTTTTTTTCATTTTTTATTTATTTATATTTTTCTAGAGAGAGGTGAAGGGAAGGAGGAAGAGAGGGAGAGAAACATCCATTTGTTGTTGCCTCTTATGTGGCCCCCACTGGGGACCTGGCCTGCACGTGCAACCCAAGCATGTGCCCTGACTGGGAATCGAATCGGTGACTCTTTGGTTTGCATTCTTCACTCAATCCACTGAGCTACACCATCCAGGGCTGTTTTACTTAGTTCTTTTTCTGGGTTTTATTCTGTTCTTTCATTCGGGCTGTGTTTCTTTGTCTCCTTGAATTGGCAGCCTCCCTGTGTTTGTTTCAGTGTAGTAGGTAGAGGTGCTTTGACTCCCTGTCTTAGCACACCTGTTAAGTTGTAAGGGGCAGAGCATTAGGTATTCACCAGGGTAAGGTAACCCCCTTCAGTGCTTTGTGGTGCTATGTCAGTGGGAGAGGTCAAGAGGGGCCAATGCCGCTGTCTGGCCTCTGAAAGTTTGTTGGGCACTTGCCCTGTTTCCAGTCACTTCACCCACTTCCTGCACGGAACTGATGCCCTTCTAGCTGCTGCCCTGGTGATGACTCCCAGAGTGGGTGGGTTTGTGTACTTTCTACAACGATGTGGGCCCTTTAAATGGACACTCGTGAGAAACTGGGAATTTCTTCTGCCACCCCAACCCCCACTGATTTTTATAGCTAGAAGTTGTGAGGCTTTATCTTCTAGCGCTGGAACTCTGGGCTGTGCTGTCTGGCCTGGGGCATGGATCTCTTACTCCCCAGGGTATCCCTCTCAATTTTTACCCACCACATGTAATTGTGGGACCTCCCCACAATCCACCGTCAACTCTCCATGCATCTTTGTGCCTGTCCACACAGTACCGTGTCCTCATCACCCAGCTCCCTATCTCTGCCCTTCCTACACATCTGGGTGAATGTGACTTCTTTAAATCCTTGGCTGTTGGACTTGTATACATTTTGATTTTCTGGCATTTCTGGGTGTTTTTTGTTTTGAGGTTAGTTGTAAATCTTTTAGTGGTTGTGCATGTCTACCTACCCCTCCATCTTGACTGGAAGTCCAGCAATGATCATATTTATTCTCATATTTTTAGGTTATTCACCAGCCCCTCCAACCTGCTTTATTCTCTGTGGCAATTTTTCATCTGCACCATATGGAAAAAATCAAGTTCAAGCTTTGAAAGGTATTAAGGGACTATTGAATAAGTGTTTCTACAATTGTATAAACTAATAAGCAGTAATCTACCTTTTAATTTTATTCAAAAGATGTAAAGTTGTAACTAATGAAATATCATTTGATTTTATGTGTATTATTTGCAAATTAAATTTAATATTCCTTTAAAATTTTAGAATCCCTAAAAGCTTTGGCCGACATAATATGTGAATATCCCAATATTCACCAAAGGTAATGATTTCTACTGCTATATTTTTATTGAAACGATTGTGTTTTAAAAAACAAAAAATGAATCTCAAGTTCGATGTCAGTGATTATTAAGAAAGGAATAGAAGAAAATGTTGAAGAAATTAGTACAGCTAAGAGAGAAAATTTTCCTCACCTCATGATAATGTATGTAACACTGCATTAGATACTTAGAGTGAGAAGTATTAAAAGGATGAATGGCAATTTCAGATGTATTTTGAATTTTTTCATAATTTTACTCTAAGTCTAGAGCTGCATTCTTCAATAGGATAGTCACTGGCCACATGTGTCTTTTTAAATTTAAAGTTAAGTAAAATGTAAAATTCAGTTGCACTGGCCACAGGTCAAGCACTCAGTAGTTGAACAGCGCAGATATAGAACATTCCCATCATTGCAAAAGGTCTGCTGGACGGTGGCAGTCTACACACTTTTAGTAGTTCATTTATTAAAATGCATGAAATTTAAAAAATCTCTTCCTAAAGGCAATAAGTTGTTTTTAGGAAATTGGATAGAATTACAAGATTTTAAAAAAATGAATTATATTGAATTTTACAGTAGTCGTTTTGTGTTTGTACCTGGTCCAGAGGATCCTGGATTTGGTTCCATCTTACCAAGGTGAGTTTTTTTCAGATTCTTATGCCAATAGAAAAAATTTCATAAAATTTAAAAATATACACTATATTACATAAATTGTTTTTATAGGCCTCCACTTGCTGAAAGCATTACTAATGAATTCAAAAAAAGAGTGCCATTTTCGGTTTTTACTACTAATCCTTGCAGGTAAATGTTATTTTTTTATTTTTTTTTAAATATATTTTTATTGATTATGCCATTACAGTTGTCCCATTCCTCCCCATTCCCCCCATTCCCCCCATTCCCCTCCACCCTGCACACCCCTCCTCCATCATCCCCCCTTTAGTTTATGTTCATGTGTCACAAGTTCTTTAGACTCTATATTTCCCCTACTATTCTTGCCCTCCCCCTTATGTATTTTCTACCTACCATCTGTGCTACTTATTCTCTGTACCTTCTCCCCCCTTCTCCTTCTCCCACTCCCCTGTTGCTAACCCTCCATGTGATCTCCATTTCTATGGTTCTGCTCCTGATCTAGCTGTCCTCTTAGTTTGCTTTTGTTTTAGGTGTGGTTCTTAATAACTGTGAGTTTGCTGTCCTTTCACTGTTCATATTTTTTATCTTCTTTTTCTTAGGTAAGTCCCTTTAACATTTCATATAATAAGGGCTTGGTGATGATGAACTCCTTGAATTTGACCTTACCTGGGAAGCACTTTATCTGTCCTTCCATTCTAAATGAAACCTTTGCTGGATAGAGCAATCTTGGATGTAGGTCCTTGTCTTTCATGACTTGGAATACTTCTTTCCAGCCCCTTCTTGCCTGTAAGGTCTCTTTTGAGAAATCCGCTGACAGTCTGATGGGAACTCCTCTGTAGGTGACTGTCCCCTTATCTCTTGCTGCTTCTAGGATTCTCTCCTTCATTTTAATCTTGGCTAATGTAATTATGATGTGCCTTGGTGTGTTCCTTCTTGGATCCAACTTCTTTGGGACTCTCAGCTTCCTGGATTTCCTGGAGGTCTATTTCCTTTGCCAGATTGGAGAGGTTCTCCTTCATTATTTGTCCAAATAACTTTTCCCTTGTTGCTCTTCCTCTTCTCCTTCTGGTACCCCTATAATTCAGATGTTGGAATGTTTAAAGATGTCCTGGAGGTTCCTAAGCCTCTCCTCATTTTTTTGAATTCTTGATTCATCATTCTTTTCTGTTTGGTCATTTTTTCCTTCCTTCTGGTCCACTCCCTTGATTTGAGTCCCAGTTTCCTTTCCATCACTATTGGTTTCCTGTGCATTTCCCTTCATTTCAATTAGTTTAGTCTTCATATGTTCCTCTAATTTGTGGGTATAATCAACCAGTTCTGTGAGCATCCTGATCACCAGTGTTTTGAACTGTGCATCTGAAAGTTTGGGTATTTCTTCATCACTTAGATTTATCTGCTCTGGGGCTCTGAGTTGTTCTTGAGCCATGTTTTGATCTGTTCCTGCCTGTTGCATATGAGGAGCGGAGCCTTAGTTGTTCAGCAGGGCGGGGCCACCCAGGTTGCTGGTTTGTGATGCTGTGTGTGGGGGCGTGGTCAGAGAGGGACAATAGAGGTTCCCTCTGTTGCTTCCTGCCGCTGGGGCCTGCTGGTCCGTCTCACTGCTCATTCCTTCACCATTTTACCTGTGCACGAATGTGTGACCACCATCAGCCCTCAGTGGGTCCACCTGCTTCTCCATACCTGGGATCCGCCCATGGCTGCTGGCGTACCTGGGTCGCACACCTGGGTCGCGCACCTGGGTCGTGCGCCTGGGTAAGTCTGGTGAATCTTTCCTGCCTGACCCCGCTCTGCTGCTGGCTCTGCCCCTCTTACCAGTTTGGCTGAAGGGTTCGTTGTTGTCAGACTTCTGTGTAGTTCAATTGTCTGTGGTTTTGCTGCGTTTTTGTTGCTAAAACTTTGTTGTTTTTAAACTTAGTTGTGCGAGAAGGTACAGTGCTTTCACCTACACCTCCATCTTGGTGGAAGTCTGTTTTTCTTTCATTTAAAAATTAATTCTTAAAATTTGTCTCTGGATTTTTACTGTTAGGAGATAAATATGAAATTTATATTTATTTCACCTTTTTCAAAACTTTGAAAATACTTTAACTATGCTTAAATAATTCACTAATAATGAATTTAGAAGCTTGACTAATAGAGGCTTTAGATATTTTCAAGTGGGGCCAGGTAGCACAGTTGGTTAGGGCATAATCCCCATGCCCTAGGTTCTGGGTTCTATCTCTGGTCAGGGCACATGCAAGAATCAACCAATGAATACATAACTAAGTGGAACAACAAATCCAGGTCTCTCTCTACCTCTCTCTCTTCCCCGCCTTCCCTTCTTCTCTCTAAAATCAATTAATTAAAAAAGTTTAAAAATAAAATAGATATTTTTATTACACATCCCTTAAGAAAAGTGACAGCAGAATGAAAAGATTACACATTTGCTGTATGTGCTGCTTAATGTGATCATAGGCTCTCCTGAGGGTATACACCCTCAGTCCTTGCTTCTTTTTTATGCCCCCATTTATTCCTGCTATGACCTTATCCTGCCCCATGGCTTTAAATACCATGTATGTTTGACAACTGCCACATTTATATATCCAGCTTGAACCTTCTCCCAGACTTTAGCCTCACATATCCAGTTGCCTATTCATCATTTTCCATTGGGTGTCTAGTAGACAACTCCTGACCAAACCTCTGGTCTTCCTCCTCCCCTGTCAACCCCCAACCTGGTCTGTAGCCTTCTTCTTCAGAGTTCATAGGCTCTTTATCCTTTTAGTCACTCAGGCCCAGAACTTTGAGGTTTCTCTCACATGCATTTTTTCAGGAAGTCCTTCAAGACTTTTAAGGAAGACTTCAAAATATATGTAGAATCTGGCTACCTCTATGTCTGTGACCCTCTATCTTCTTCTAGCCTGGGTTACTGTGACAGTCGTTTGGTTGGTCTCTAGCTTTTACAGCTGCCCTTCTGTAGTTTATTCTTAATACTATGTCCGAGTGATCCTTTGAAAAGTAAGGCCCTTATGATCCTGAAAGATGGGACCCCCCTCACGTCAGTCACTAACATCCGATATCCTTGCAATGGAAGTCAGAGCCCTGCATGATATGCCTCCCGTGTCCTCTCTGCTCTCTACTCCTACTCTTCCTCCTCATTCAGTCCAGTCACTACTACAGCTTTTTCTTCCTGTTCCTCAGATGTGCCAGGCATGCTCCGTCCTGGAGCCTCTGCTCTACCTGTTCCCTCCGCCTGCAGTGTTCTTCCTCTGTCTGCCTGTCTCACCTCCTCCAAGTCTGTCCTCAGATCAAACTTCATCATGAGCCCTACCTGTTCTGATCATTCGCTTTCATACTCCAGCCTTCTAGACCTTCTCTTCCCACAGATGGTCCTAGTGAACCTTTTTATTTTTCCCATACTCGTAACCATCTTCCCACATACTATATAATTACCATGTATATTGTTTATTTTCTCTGACCAGCCTTCTCTCATTAGAATGTAAACTTCATGAGGGCTGGGATCTTTTTGTTTTGATTGCTCATTCCTAGAGTGCCGAACACATATGAAGAGCCCAATGAATTACTAATGAATGAATGGAAAATTCTGATTGAATTTTTGCTGCGGTCAACAATGGAAAGTGGGAATGGTTTGGTATTATAAAATATTTTGCCTTTTAAATTACCTCATTTTTTCTGATGAAGTCAAATTCAACTATTGTTTGTATTTCAGAATTCAGTATTGTACACAAGAAATTATTGTGTTTCGGGAAGACTTAGTGAATAAAATGTGCAGAAACTGTGTCCGTTTTCCTAGTAGTAATTTGGATATTCCTAGTCATGTAAGTTCAGAGTTTTCTTTATGAAACTATTTTACATGTTGTATTACATAAAATTTTAAGCTACTTGATTATTTCCTCTCCTATGTATATTATGGTTCAAAATAACTTAAACATACTTTTGTCAGTAATATTTGATACTATGTAAGTGTTTCTCATCTCTCACTGAAATATCCCCTAATGTGTGGAGGAAAACCCAGAACAAGCAGGAAATTTCATTGAAGTTTCTTGTTAAGCTTTTAAATTCATAAATATTATATTTTAAAATATATTTGTTTTAATAAAACATTCATGTTTATTAAATATTTCTTGTGCTATGTCTACATCAGGAAGATGTGTAGTGTTTACCTTGTAGCTTCAAGGTTCTAAGATATGTAATTACCAATACCTGGTTACATGTCCCCGTTTTCAGAAGTATGAACATAGATCATGCAGAGCATTTTCTCTATTTATTTTATAATATTTAAAGCTTACATAGGTTACATATCTATTCTTGGCATTACTCAAGCTATGGAATTATTTTTAGATGAACAGAATTTGTGTGAATTTATTATATAGCTGTAAGTATAGTTGCCCCATTATAAACATTGGGGAAGTAGCTTTTACAGAATATGGTATTAAATGAAAACTCATCAATTTTTCCTAAACTACAGCATAGTTAATCTCATTTCATACCTGTTTCCCAAACAGGTACAACTTTGCTCTGTGGTACAAAGTCGTCTTAATTGTTTCTCATATTTTCTAATTCCTTTTGGTAATTAATTTTTAACTTGAAATGATTTGTTAGCTGTTTTAACTTTTACAAATGAACTAAAGTTTGTTTTGTGTCATTCTTTTTAGTTTGTAAAGACTATCTTATCCCAAGGACACCTGACTCCTCTACCCCTCTATGTCTGCCCGGTGTACTGGGCTTATGATTTTGCTTTGAGAGTGTATCCTGTGCCTGATCTACTTGTCATCGCAGACAAATATGATCCTTTCACTTTGACCAATACCGAATGTCTCTGCATAAACCCAGTAAGAATGTAGTTATTATGTAGTCAGAGTTTGTCACGACTAGAGTGTTATTTTTTTAAATTTAAAATATGCATTTAATAAAATTACTGTAGGAGTAAAAATACTATTAATGGAACACTGAATTAATTTGATATATACAAAAAGTTCTTAAACTTTTAGTATGGCATGTGACTATAAAGTAATGTGACTTTTTCTTTAAATAAATAAATAAATAAATAAACCAAAGCTTATAAATCCAAATGAACATTCTCCCCCTTCAAAGTAACTTGCCTTGGGATTCCTTCTGGGAATATCTTGAAGACCCTGTATCCATTCTCTTTGAACATATTGATGCTACTTGTCCTTTGAGAAGGCTTTTGATTTTTAGAAATTGCCCAAGTCCCCCAAAATCTAAACCTGGTAAATGTGGAAATTCTTAATGGGACACATTTTAAAGTTCATTTTTATCCATAAATTTGAAATTGCTTCAGAATCTTGAAGTTGCTTCTGAATTTCTACAGAAGTATGATTGACTTTTTAAAGTTAGGGAAGGAACACAGCATGAACATTGTTGTCAATGTCAAGGTGTCTTCACCAGAGGTTTTATACTCTGTGCTTCCTTGATTCTTGTGAATTTTAGACCTTAATACTTTTTTGCTTCATCTAGGTCATTTCTAGAAACATCCTGACTAACTATTGGTTGCTGCTTCTTCAAACACACACGTATTATGTCCAGCTTCCTCTAAGACAGGGTTTCTCAACCACAGAACCATTGACATTTTGGGCCCAACCTTTGTTGTGGAGCATTGTGCTGTGCATTGTAAGATGTTTAGCAGAATCGTTGGCTTCCACCCACTGGATGAGAGTAGCAGCCCCCAACTGTAACAATCAAGAATGTCTGAGGGTAGTTGACAAATGTGCCCTGGGGGACAAAATTGTCCTCGGTTGAAAACTACTCTAAGGATGAACATAGTCAACTGATTTGATTTTATTTGAAATTTGTGACCTCATTTTTGTAGACTCTATTCACATTCCAATATTCTTTCACAGTGAGGCTGTATCCATATTTAAACTAAACAGTTTGGGTATTCTCATAGTTAATTCTTTTTTTGAAAACATCTTATTTCTGATTTTTCCACCTTTTCATCTTGTAATGAGTAAAACCATTTCCTACACCATCATTACATCTTTTTACCTTATATACCTTTTGGACCCAAAACTTGCTTTTTACATTGCTTCATCCCTTCTTGATACTTGTTTACATTAATGAATGCCTGCAATGAATGAGGCATTGTATTAGTGCTGGGGACATGCAGACATGGGACAGAGTCTCTGCTCTAGAATTTAGTAGTGGACACAGTCGTATGTGTTCAGTGGCTTTGAGGACACATTGGAGGGTCATCAAACCCAGATTTTCACTGCAGAGAGGGCCAAGAGAGGCTTCTTAAAGATGTCTGTCTTATATGGATCTTTAGCATTGCACAGTACTACTTAGCTCTAACACTAAGTAGAGCCACTCCTACTTACATTTCTAATCATATCTGCTTGCACTGGTCTAGCCAGTTTGAAAGACTTGCATCAAATGGAGATATAGTAACACCTCTCTGAAAAGATCAAGAAAAAATCTGTCTCATCACTTTATAGTCACATCTTATAACTTTATTTTTAAAGTCATGACCAAGAAATTTGATTTTAAACATATGAATTCTTCTGTAAAAGTTGAGTTTATTTACAGGCCTTTTTCTCCCCAAAGGGCTCTTTTCCAAGAAGTGGATTTTCATTCAAAGTTTATTATCCTTCCAATAAGACAGTAGAAGATAGGTAAGTGTATCCACAGAAATGGGTAGAAGAAACTGTTTCATGGTACTATATTGCTAAAGATCATATGTTCTGTAGGTGTGTTGAGGTTTTTAAAAATGTTTGCGGTGACCCATTGCCAGTATTCTATGCTGAAGTTATTGTGGTCATGCTGTGTGACATGGAATTGTATGTACTTGATGGCATGTTTGTGATGAAATAGATCAAGCACTGTTTTCTGAGGGAAGAAATCTCAGACCAGCTCTGGAGGTGGGCTAGTTCTCTCACACGCTTACTCCTAATGGTTTTTGTATTCTGAGGGGTCAGCCCTGCCCTCCACATAGTTGAGTCTCAAAGCCTAGGTAATCTGCTTTAAATTGGCAGCAAAGAAGATGGAAGGGGCTGGGTGCAATCGTGGTAATGGGGAGGTCATGGAGGAAATAAGAGAATAATCACCAGGTGGGTTGTGGGTTTCAGAGGGTGATCTATAGATCACCTGCATCGGAATCCTCTAAGGTCCTTGTTAAAAATGTTAAGTTTCAGGATCCCACCCCAGATTTAGCAAATAGCTTGCTCTGTACTTCTACAGCCCATAATATGCATTTTGACACTATGTTCCTTGGATTCAGACATCCTAACATGCAATATCAGTTAATCAAAGATATTTTTAAAAGCTTCCACTACCTGTCAAGAATGAATAACCAGATAACTGCCCTCAATTTTCTTTTTAGAAAATACCTCGTCACTCGGACACAACCCAGTTGTCTCTTTTTTGGGGGGGGGGAGGGGGGGTAACTAAATTAATTAAAATAAAAATCAACACAATCACATGATAAAATTTTCAAGCAATGCCTAAAAGTGTACAATTCAAAAGAATAATACCTCTGCTTCCTAACCCTGAACCCATGATGAACAGTTTCTTGTATATATTTCTTGAAAAAACAATTATGCATTATTCTTGCTGCTCAATACTCAGGGAGGATTGAAGTCTATTCACTTTATGAGACAGTCTATTTTATTACTTTGATTATTTGACATATATTTGATTCTGGTGGGTTTTTTTTTAAAGATTTAATTTATTTATTTTTAGAGAGGGGAAGGGAGTGGGGAGAGAAAGAGAAGCATTAATGTGTGGTTGCCTCTTGAGCACCCCCTACTTGGGACCTGGCCCGCAACCTAGGCATGTGCCCTGACTGGGAATTGAACCAGCAACCCTTTGGTTCGCAGACTGGCACTCAGTCCACTGAGCCACACCGGCCAGGGTGATTCTTTTTTTTCTTTTTTTAATCTGCACCCAAAGATACATTTATTGATTTTAGAGAGAGAAGAAGGGAGAGAGCATAAACATCAATGTGAGAGAGATACATTGATTGGTTGCCTCCCATATACACCCCAACCAGGTACAGAACCCACAACCCAGGTATGTGTCCTGAGCAGGGATCGAAAATGCAACCTTTTGGTGCATGAGATGATGCTCCAATCAACTGAGTCACCTGGCATGGGCTGTCTGATTCTTAATATATTCCAGACATTGCTTAGTTTTTGGAATATAACGCCATAAAGGTTATATGAAGAGATACTCTCATAAAGGTCTTTAACCCATCAGCCTTACATGTGTTTAACTTTACCTAGCCCACTGTGAATTCAACAAAATAAAATAAGAATTGATTTGGGTCCTGGCTGGGTAGCCTAACTGGTTAATGTGTTGTCCTGATATGCCTAGGTTGTGGGTTCAATCCCAGTCAGGGTACATACAAGGAATCAACCAATGAATGCATAAATGAGTGGAACAACAAATTGGTCTCTCTCTCTCTCTCTCTTTCAAGTCAATGACTTAAAAAATGATTTGGAATGCCTTTAGGTAAGGGAAGCCATCTACTCCAGTCTCACCAGTTCTTGTTGTCAAGATACAGATGCCTCTGAGGGCATTTGATTTTGTGACCCCAGAATTAAGTTACCTCTGAGGGCTGTCTACCTGGAACACGTTTCTCCACCTTCTCACTGACTTACTGAACTCAGATTTGGTTTAAAACTTATCCTGCTATGAAAACCAGTGTTGAGATCTTTAAACAGGTCCCAGAACAAGAGAACTCTGCCTGTCCCAAGAAACTGTTTGGATTTATCTTAGGGAGCCTGTAAACCTTCTAACAGATTCCCTTCCCTTTAGCTGCTAGGAGCACTGCCAAATGCGCAGCCCGCCTCTGAAGCCGCAGAGCAATTACAAGCATAAAAGTTAGGTGCAGCTGTAGTGTCATCTCCTTTTCTGATCTGTATTTTCACCTTACCTGAGTTTCCTTATTTACTTTTACCGTTTTTTAACATTTATCTCTGTAAATCATTTTATGTCTGTTAATAAGTTGGGATATAAGCAAATAACCCACAGCAGGAAATTAACTGATTTATTATGACAGCACAAGACACTTTGGTTTCATTTCCTGTAATGTTCCCTGATTGCCCAGCAGAATTGTTTTGTGTTCTAAGAACTTTATACAGATTCCTCTGATAGTTCTTAACACTGTGTTGGAAGTTGCTTATGTGCCTGTCCCTCTTAACAGTTTCTAGCAAAGTAGTACTTGATTTGCAATTTGTGGAGTTGAAATAGTTGGTTCCTTTATCTTCTGTGGACTCTGATACTGAAAACCTTGCCATAATTTCCAAACTATCATTAGTATTGGTAATATGAGGAATCTTCTCAGGGCTGGGTCAAACAAGTTGATATATGTCTATTTTGGGGGAGAATGAAAAGTTTTCAAGATATAGTATAATAATTTTGTCTTCCTGCTACTTAGTTTCTCCTAAGAAGAAATCTTTGGGTGGAATATTTGTGAAATCATATTGTAGAGTTAGTTGGTCAGAATAAAAAATGGTAAAAACTTATAGAGGGTAATTTTAAAAGATTTCTTAAGACCTAACCTGCATATACCAGCAATTTTATGGCTAGGAATTTATCCTACAGGTATACTCTGACTTATGAATAAAAATGGGTACAACTGTTTTTACTGTAGTTTTTATACCAGTAAAACAAATGGTTTAAATGTATATGCTTATCAGGAGTTTTCTAATATATTTAGATTTTAAAGCATGAAATGATTAGTTACATTATAAACATAATATATTTATTAAATGATTGGAAAAAGGTATAGAATAGTGTTCATAGTATTCTACCACTTGTGTGGGGGTATGTGCTATAAAAACACATTAATGTATGTGATTAGACAATCTTTATAAGGATGTGCTTTATGAGGATATACAGTTGTTTCTAGGGAGCAGAGAGTGTGAGACTGGCGTATTTTTCCATCACCTTTTCAACTTGGAACTATATACATGTATTTTAAAAATCAATGAACTAAAACTAAATATTAAATGTATAATTTAGATTTCCAAAATGTTTCATTTTATGAATATTTTCTATTTTCAGCAAACTTCAAGGTTTTTGAAATTCTAGAAGACCATCTGAAGAAACAAAATTCATCAATATTTTGCTTAATTTTATATTTTATGTAATTTTCATATTGTTACAATAAAATTATGGTAAACTTTAGAATGTTTAATTTTGTATTTTGTGAAATATTGCTATTGTTATAATAAACAAGGTGGTATACTTTATACAATTTTATAGGGAAAATATTTTCTAATCTATTAAGAAAAATATGAAATGTATATAAAGATGTAATCTAGTTATACATTTGTACTTAAAAACTGAAATTTCATTATTTCTATACTAGTCATACGTTAAAGTTCATTTTAAGAAAAACATATTTAAATTTTCTGAATCATTATTTTAATCCAACTTAGGTTTTTAATCACTGCAAGAGTCCTAACAATATATTTGACGGTTTTCAACCTGTTTGAATTTCAAGTCACACAATTTATTCTAATGACAGGGAAAACCTTTGTTACAGGGTATCACTTTGATATTTGTTACATGATTATATTTTGGCACTGGAAATTTAAAAACATAGTCCCTGTGGTTTATACATTTAAAAGACATGTTTACTTTGAAGCAGCATCTTTTGCCATATTGGCTGTAATTACTCAACACCATTCTTTAAAAAAAAAAATTATTTATTTATTTATCTTTAGAGGGGAAGGGAAGGAGAGGGAGAGAAACATCAATGTGTGGTTGCCTCTCATGTGTCCCTGCTGGAAACCAGCCTGAAACCCAGGCATGTGCCCTGACTGGGAATCAACAGCAATCCTCAGGTTCACAGGCCTGCGCTCAATCCACTGAGCTACACCAGCCAGGGCTCAACATCATTCTTTTGCTTTTAGTTTATAGTGTTGCAGTAATGGCCCAGAAATGAATCCAAATGACAGGAAGTTGTTAGAGGTACAGGAGTATTTCAAATTGAGGAGTATCCTTAATATTAAAAGAGCCTAGCACGGAAGAAATTTCTTTCCATGAAAATTAGCTTTTGGGGGAAAGAATTATGATAAAAAAACAAAAATGACATATTAAAAAGAAAATTCCTTGAGAAAATTTAATGTGAATATTATAAACGAATTAGTGGTTAAGGATGAAGTGATAATTGAGATATGGATTGAGGATGGAAAATTTAGGAAGACTGTTAGAAGAGGCCTGATATTAGAAGAACAAGATTTAACTTTAATTTCAAATAGCCTGGGAAAATTGAAGTTAAAGATGAAATTAAAGCATAAGTTCAAAAGCTACTAGGCTGCTTGGAAAAATTTACAACTTATATTTTGAAAGCAGTAGTGAAATGGACGTGGCAAGGTTTTGGTCGTTATGAGAACCATGGGGCTAAATGTGAAACTTGATGGGTAGAAAGTTAGAAGTGGAAATTGGGTACAAAGTGTTCATTCATTTGATAAATAAGTACTTCCGTAAATAAAGATGAGCTTTTTGAGATCTTTTCAGGAACACCCGTAATGGGTAGAAAGACAAGGTGTTATTTAGGGGTTAGCAAGGTGAAGTGAAATGAAGCAAGGGAGTTAATCAAGAGCAGAGAAATTGCCAGAGGCAGGCAGTAAGTATTGGAATGAGGTAAGACAGGAACTAGAACCAGGTGTGGATTGGCATCATCCAGAAATGAAAAGGAAGCAGAGGTCTGAAAGGTGACGCAGTGGAGAAGCAGCACTGAAAGGATATCCTGGGCTTCTTTCTGCTTTGGGTCAAAACAGGTGGTGTGCTCCCTGACTCGGTGTTTAATCAGCTGATGCACGTCTGATCTTACTGCAGAAATCTGGGTACGAGGGTCTGCCATGTGACGGTGTGCGTCACAGCAGGGGCCAGGGAGATCACACAAGATGCGAATGGGTAAGATTTCTCTAAGAGAGAAAAGCAACACTTGATCCCCGAGTGGGGAAACCACAGGACACACCCGGGACTGCAGAAACCAGAGCGCCCAGTTGCTTGTCAGTAGGTCTCAGACTATCTGTTCTGGACCTCTAGTGCGTAGATTTGTGGAAGAATAAGGTCAAGCAGTTTGCACCAAGGGGTTAATACTCAGTCCATCTCCCTCGAAGGCATTCATATTTTAATAAAGATAGCCTTTCTTCAAGAGATGAATTTTAGTCAAAAGATCATTTGTTTGGGACATGGGAGCTTTTCAACACATTTTTTCCCCAAGGACCTGTTGGGAAAGGGACTACCACATAGTAAGAGATTTGGCAAAGTGGAGCATGGACAATTCTTAGGGAATCTATTGAAAACTACAGGCCCTCTCCCCACTCAGAAAAATCAGCATGAGCCTACCCCCACTTCTAGTTTCACAGTGTCAAAAGGCTCAGGAGCTCCGAAGGCTCTCAGCTTTCAGAGCCTTCATTCTCATTCCCAAAGTGGTGTGGTCTATTGTCATGTGTGTAGTGTGATGTTTTCCTGTTTGAAAATGCTATAAAGATGAAACCTGTCTGGAATTTTCAAGTTACAAAGGTAACAAAATAAGCTGAAACCAATCATTGGGTGTGTTTACTGACATGGTTATTTGGTACTGACACAGTAAAGAATTACACACCTGTAAGCCTATTAATGTACAGGGAAAGCTTATTAGTGTTGAATTCTAATGGGAGAGCAAAAGGGAGAGTGGCCAGAGGCTGGGTGACCAGCACCCAGATTGCCTGAGGGCCCCTGTGTGGCAAAAGAGCCAAAGAGAGCCAGCCCTTTGTTCTGAGTTCTGTAGCTGGCAGGGCGGAGGTGAAGTTACATATTGATTGACAGGTAAAAGTGGTGCCAACTTTCCCAGGGGGACATGACTACCCACATGTACCTATGTGTGGGGGTCTGTTAGCTTGAATCCTTATCTACCGCCAGATTCCATTTATTCATTTTGTATATGGGACTGAGGGCAGCCAGTTAACCAGTTGTTTATGGGTTTTTCTTTGGGCACTGTGGGCCTCTTCCCATTCCCCCTTCTAAGGCTTGCGATGAATATCCAGTCTGAAAGTTTTTCTTTTCCCAGCTAGTGGCAATGATACAGACTTTTGAGGGCTAATCCCCTCCTGCGCTATCATAGTTTTGCTCACTTGGAATGCCTGGCAGCCCCACCCAACTACTCATGACGACTGGGTCACTGAGACTTGTTTTCCTTTGCTTTTAGTCTCCTGTATTAAGTTCTTTGCTAGACTGCAATAGTGAGGGCCCTGACTTTACTCGCCCCCAGGTTGCTCATTCCTAGCTGTTATGTAACATTCCTCTCTGAAGTAATAGGAACTCAAATCTCTGGGGACTTTGGGCTCAGGACTGCTGGATCAATAGGTGAGACAGGTTTTCCTCCTCCTCCCTGCCTTGGTTTGCTGTTACCCTACCCAACATCAGGGTTGTAACAACAAAAATAGATCTCTCACATGCTTTAAAGGTTCAGAATTCACCTTTATGCCTCGAGGCTGTTTCAGAGTAATTCTAAGACCTAAATTGCAGGGTATTTTTAAACTTTTTACTAAACAAGTTCATAATAGTCCTGGCTGGTGTGGCTCAGTCGGTTAGAGCATTACGCCATAGACCGAAAGGTCATGGGTTCAATTCCTAGTCAGAGCATGTACCCAGGTTGTGGGTTCGATCCCTCAGTTGGGGCACTAGGCATGTATGAGAAGGTAATGAATCAATGTTTCTCCCGTTTTGTCTCTAAATGCAATGAAAAAAAAAATGTCCTCAGGTGAGGATTAAACAAGTTCATAACAGAAAAATTAATAAATACAAGTAGTCATAAAAAAGTTTGAAGGACCTGCAATTCTACCATCAGAGACTGTTATTACTTATGTATAGATCATTCCAAATGTCTCTTTATGCATATATTTTTCCTTCTCTTCAAGCAGACCCTTTAGCATCTATCCATGCAGCTCTTCTATGTCTTTTGACTGGAGCATTTAATCCATTTACGTTTAAGGTTATTGATAGGTACTTATTCATTGCTATTTTACTGCCTTTGTACCTGTGTTTCTGCCTCTTTTTTTCCTCTTATCAAAGGCAGACCCTTTTATTTTTCCTATAAATATATTTTGAGGGTCACACCATACATACCAAACTTGCCTTTTTCTTCATTCATCAAATAATTGAGTGCCTAATACAGGAGTTGGCAAAAGTAGGCTGACAGTTGTTCATATGGAAAAACACACAGGTTGTGATTACAACAGCTTTATTAATTCAAAAGAATGTCACAAAGGCACAGTGCATTCAAGTATAATCTCATAGTGCTCAAATTGCTGGCCATTATTCACACGTCCATGAGTCTACTTGCTACACTCAGGCACTTTAACACAGAGTTCTCTATAAGCCTACTCTTGCCCACCCCTGTATATTCTACATACTGAGGAATCCAGAAGAAAACCAGGAAGACAGGCCCTTGCTTTCACAATGCTTACCTTCAAATGGGGTGAGCCATACCCTAAAATAAGGAAGTACCAAGTATGAACTATGCTGAAAATGATGTGGGCAATTTTAGATGGGTCCTGAAGGTGGGAGTCACTAAGTTGACATTTAAGTTCTTGACTCCAGGGCCCGTGCACAGACTGCACAGGAACAGTGAATGTTCTGCCACTGAGGCTAAAGTGGAGAAAATCTGGTGGTACGGAGGTCAGGGATCAAGCATAATGGGCCTTGTGGACACAAGTAAGGAACTGGATTGAAGCCTACTAGGAGTTCAGCTCTGGCTTTAAATGTCAGTAAGGATACTCTGTGGAGAGGAGATCGTAAGAATGGAAGAGGTGAAGAGGAGACATCAGGAAGCTATTACATAAGTCTGCCAGGGAGAAGAGGGAGGCTCAGACCAGAAATACAAAGAAGTGGGTATTTTGGGAGAGTATACAGAGACAATAGGACTAGGTAACTGAATAGCAGTGCAGGGTGGGGGAAAGAGGAATCGAGGCTTACACGTAGGTTTTAAGCTTGAGCAGCTAAGTGGATGGAATTAACAGGTTTGATAGGAAAAAAATCAGGATTTCTATTTTGAGATGCCTATCATCAAACATCTAGGTGGAGGTATCTAGTAGGCAATGGCATGAATGTAGAGCTCAGTGGTCAGGTAGCACCAGAGATAAAATTTTGGAGTCACTGGTCTTGTTCCACAGGAGATCCATGAGGGCAAAAATGTTTTTAAAAAGCACATTTTAAAACATTGAAATTGAAGTATGAGATACAGAAAAGCCCTGTTGCTTGGGTACATACAGCTAAATGAATTTTCAAACTGCAAACCCTGTTACCAATACCAAGATTAAGAAATGGAACATGACCTTCACCCCAGAAGCTAAACTCCTACTCTCCACCCCACCGTCACAACACCTCACTCTCCCTCAAAAAGACAATGACAAGCCTCATTTTAACATTTATTTTTTAAAGATTTTATTTATTTTTTTTAGACAGAGGGCAAAAGAGGGAGAAAGAAACATCAAATGACTGCTTCTCACATGCCCCCAACTGGGGACCTGGCCTGCAACCCAGGCATGTGCCCTCCTGACTGCGACTGGAACTGGCAACCTCTCAGTTTGTGGTACAATGCCCAACCCACCGAATCACACCAGTCAGGGCTCAACATTCATTTTTCCAAGTTTTATCTATTATATAATGGAATCATACAGTATTTATTATTTTACATAGGATTTCTTTCACATTGTTAGTGATATTCATCCACATTGTTTTTTTAATATTTATTGTGAATATATACATTTTATTTACCCATTCTACTACTGAGGGGAATATGAGTAATTTCCACTATTTGTCTATTACAGGGATGTTATGAATAGACAAAATATAGTCTATGTCTTTTGATAGAAATAGAATTTCTTAGTCATAAGATATACATTCTACCCAACAGCAATTTTCCAAAGTAATTAACCCAATAGACCCAATAATTAACCCACTTCCAGTATACAAGTGCCAGTTGCTTCACATCCTGGGAGCAGAATGATTTTGTTGCACAACTGGTAGGTGTGCAAGTATGCAATCAATTCTGTTTAAAGAAAGAACTGGAACATAGATGGCATTTAAAGCTGTGGGCTTGAATTAAGATCATCTTGGAAGAAATAAGATTAGATAACAGGGCTGATGGATAAGCCTTCAGTGACTCCTACATTTAGATAACTGGCAGAAGAGGAGCAAGTAGAGGAGGAAGAAAATGGGAGCCCATGGGGTTTTGCAAACTAAAAGAAATGTGTGTTTTAAGCCAGTACAGTTAACCACTTTGAATGCTGCCAAGAGATCATAAAACTGGGCAGATTGCGGGGAGTCAGGAGTTCTGTTTTTGGCCTGAATATTTCAAGTCTAAAGGGCTTAAGCTTTAAATCATTTAGATGGAGACCTTAAATGCACAGATGGAGGTAGAAGTCTGGAGTTTAGAACCTGATATGTAAGTTTGATATTTATGAGTATAAATTTATTTGTGAAAGAGAGAGTGTAAATGGAGAACAGATGGGGACCCAGCCTTGAGGCATTTCCACTGAGAAGTTGAACAGAGGTGAACACCTGCAAAGCAGACTATGTGTATGGTTAAGTATATGGTAAGGTAGGAGAGAAACCTGGAAAGTGCCTTGTCACTGAGGTAATGACAACATCAACTGTGTTAAATGTTGGTGAATTTCAACAAAATGAGAACAGAAAAATAATCACTGGATTTAACAACTACTAATTAATAATTACGGCATCTATAGTCACACCTATAACATCACTCTGGCTGCAAAAAGTCCCATAGTATGGCATACCAAAATCTGCTCAATCAGTCCCACTGTTGAGTTCTTAGATGCTTCCCAAACCATTAGAATCATAAAGTTGCCTTGAGCATGCTCTTAAGAGTTGAAATTGCTGGACTGAGAAAGTATAAACATCTTGAAAGCTTTTTATACAGCTACCAAAGTTCTCTCTAGAAAGTTTTTATTAAATTCTACCACCACCCCACAGAAATATAGTAATTGTAAAAAAAGTTTTTGCCATTTCGATAGGTGGTATGTGGTATCTTATAATTACACTTTTAGTAATGAAGTCATATGTTTGTTAGTCATTAGTTACTTGTTAACAGTGTGCCTATATCTCTTACCCCAAATGAGGGTTGTTACAGGCAAACTATATGTTAAATATCCAGAAGACTGAAATATTTAGTACAGTGCAAAAAGCAGATAAATATAGCTGTGAATCACAGCTTGTGAATACACTAGCTGTGTGTCCCTGGTCAGGTAACTTCTTGGGGTCCATCATCGTGTATGTGCAATAGGGATCAGTTCTACCTTGAAGTGTTGTGAACAATGAAATGATGTACAAAATGCTAGAAATTACGACATTATTATGATAGCTAATCTAGCGCAAAAGTAACTGCGCCATGGCAGTTATTCAAAAAACATAGACTGTAGGGCAGTTATCCAAGAAATGAAGATGCTATGTCTTTCATTTCCACCATCTTACTCCAATTCCTGCCCCTCCTCTCAGGTGTTGGCGTCGCCGTGGCAACCAGCACGCGCTGCCCAAGGCAAAGTTCTCTGGCGGTTGGGGACCTCCGCTGCCTCACTTTCCTCTGGACAGCGACTCCGCCACCCGTCCCGTCCACCTCGCCTCAGATAAAATCTCCCTTGGCCTTAGAGATAGGGGCCGAGCGGCAGCATGGCAAAAGCGGCAGCCTCTTCGCCGCTAGAGGACTTAGATCTGAGCGGAGAGGAGGTCCAGCGGCTCACCTCCGCCTTTCAGGACCCGGAGTTCCGGCGAATGTTTTCCCAGTATGCCGAGGAGCTCACGGACCCCGAGAACCGGAGGCGCTACGAAGAGGAGATTACCGCGCTGGAGCGTGAGCGCGGAGTGGAGGTGCGGTTCGTGCACCCCAAGCCTGGCTACGTGCTGCGCACCAGCCTGGATGGAGCGCGGCGCTGCTTCGTGAATGTGGCCAGTAACACGCTGGTAAGCGCACCCACCAGCCGGCCAGGCTCTGTGAACGCGGCGACCGGTAGCCAGTGGTCCCTGCCCTATAGCCTGGCGCCCGGCCGCGAGTACGCAGGGCGGCGCGGCACCCGCTACATGGTCTATGATGTGGTTTTCCACCCAGGCGCGCTCACGCTGGCCCGGCGCCACGAGCGCTTCCGCCAGATGCTGGACTCCACGGCCCTGGAGGCCGTCGAGAAGCAGTTCGGCGTGAAGCTGGACCACAGAAATGCCAAGATGCTGAAAATCAAATACAAGGGGACCCCAGAAGCAGCCGTGTTGCGCACACCCCTGCCCGGGGGTGTCCCGGCCCGGCCCGAAGGGGAGCTGGAGAGCCCTCTCCCCGATTTTCCCTACCCTTACCGGTCTCTGGCAGCCTCCGGGAACTTTGTGAGGCCCGAGCACCCGGCTCCCTCCTCTCCAGAGGCGGTCCCGCATCCTGCCCCCACCCAACCTCGCTACAGTGTGGTGCAGCGACACCACGTGGACCTCCAGGATTACCGCTGTTCCAGGGACTCGGCCCCCAGCCCCGTGCCTCAGGAGCTAGTGGTTACTATCGAGCTGCCGCTGTTGCGCTCCGCCGAGCAGGCGGCGCTGGAGGTGACGGGAAAGCTGCTGTGCCTGGACTCCAAGAAACCTGACTACCAACTACGGCTCTCGCTCCCGTACCCGGTGGACGACAGCCACGGGAAGGCGCAATTCAACAAAACCCGGCGACAGCTGGTGGTCACGCTGCCCGTGGCGCAGTCGGCAGCGCGCCGGGAGCCCGCCACGGAGCCGGAAGAGAGCGCAGGCCCACCCGGAACTGATGGCGCCGTCTGCACTTCCGCTGACGAGGGCCAGACTGGTTTGGCTGGGGATCTCGTGGGGGGCCAGGACTCGTCTCCCAGCAGAGCTGGGGCTGTAGATGCCGGGATCACTACTCCAGATGTTGCAGGGGAGGAGCTTGTTTCCGAACTGGAGGAACGGGACTTTGGCGCGCAAGTGGTTTTGGATACCGACTGCCGCGAAAAAAACCTTCTCGGCACTGGGAGCTCACCGGGAGACTGTGGTGGAATCGCTCCTTGTATTTCAGCCGGGCACCCAGACGGAGGGTCTTCTGCAGGAGGAAGGAGTGCGTGTGGAGATCTCAGCATTGTGACCCGCGTGGCCCGGGGAGACACGGGCTGGGAGTCTTCTGATCCAGTCATGGATGGTCCCGGGACAGGCAGCGGGGGACCTCTGTGTCCTCCTTTGCAGTGTAAACAGGATGAAGAATCCCTGACTCTGCTAATTCAGGTGCCTTGGATCCAGCCGCAAAGTCTTCAAGGGGATGTGAGCCCCCTCCGGTACAAATTGTGCTTCTCCACCCAAGACTTAGTTTATTATTCCTTCCTCTTGCAGTTTGCTCCAGAAAATAAATTGAGTAACAAAGAACCAGTGGTTAGCATTTCTTCAAACAATGCAGTGATAGAACTGGCCAAATCTACAGGGTGCTATGGATATTGGAGAGAGTGGTATTATGGTTTAAACAACGATTCTTTAGAGGTAATAGTTCTTTATCGAGTTTTAATATTTGACATATTCTACCTTACTTTTTAAATGTCTCCCAAAGTATTTTTCTATGGGAACTTCTCTCGAAATGGCTTGAAGTTGATACAAGTGATGAGAGATGTCATTGCTCGTTAAAGGAATATTGAAAAACAAACAAAATACCCCAAAGCAGTAAACAGCACGCATCCCCTATAATGGATGAGTTTCAAGTTTTCAAAATTGTGCTTAGTACATTTCCTTCCCAGGAGTCCACTGACTGAGGACATGAATGGATTCCGAAGATCCATAAACCTCTAAAACTGTATGCAAAAAATTGAGGATAATTTCTTCTGGAGAGAAGGGCTATAACTTTAGTCATATTCTGAAAGAGGTTGAGTTTGAGAGGCACTCTGTTTGGGCCGTATTTTAAGTTGGTAAATAACATTGTCCGACTATAGAAAGTAATCAGTTTACTTCCAGAGAGCAAATGTCACTTAGCTACATTTCTTATGTAGGAAAATGAACTCAGAACCAGGTGTCAATCTAAGTAAATCCCTTGCCCTTTCAACCATAATATAGTGCTGCTTCATTTTTAGTCGCTGATATTGGTGGGGTTGTCCTCAGGTGGGCATTTTGTTACATTAAAATTACATCTTTTTGCTTCTCTTTCAATCTTTACATCCCTACTAGTATTTGGCACAATGGCGGGCATTTAACAAAGAGTAATGTAAACATGTTTTAAACTGTACAGCACCATTAGCTACACATCTTTTGGGCATATACTCTAGAACTGGGCTGAGCATTACCTAATTTTTTTTTGGTTAAAAAATTTTTTTACCTAATTTATTTAGGATATAATTTTGATAATTTAGTATGCCCATTGTAGTTGTTACTATACCTTTTGGGGTTTTTGAGGTTCTCGAATTTCAGATTCAATACTACAATACTATGGGCAAATATTGAAAACAAACCTTAAAATTTGAAGTTGTAAAGAACTTTTGTAAACTCGTAAGTGAACAATCAGTGGTTTTGGCTGAGGTTCGTATCAGTGTTATATGTAAATTTTTAAAACTGGGTTCAATTCCCAGAAACAACACAAATTGCACGGATTATATATTAAAAATTAAGTTTTGGGCCTTGGGCTTTCACCTGCCAGAAATTTTCACTTCTTCCCCATTGTTTTTCTAGAAATTTGCTAATAAGTTACATTTATTTTATGAGGGGTATCTTCTGTGAGAAGAGGTTAATTTGAAAGACTGCAAAAGCAGTAAAACTGAGTAGCCAGGGCTGGGTAAAATACTTGGTGATAATAGGAAATTGACTATCTGTTTATGTCGTTAGAAGGGGGAAATTTAGGAAAGGGCAGGCGTTTTCCTGTAATTGTCTTTAATAAATGTGAAGGTAACTCAATATGGGAAGAAAGCTTGTGGACAAGCAGTAGAGAAAATAGTAAAGAATACATTTTAATCTGATTTACTAGTATGGTAACATTATTTTAGCAAAGAAACCAGACAAAAATGGGATTATGGCAACAGTTTTATGTCTTTGAAGCTTGAAATAGATTTAATATTTCCTAACCATCACATTTGCTAAGGCTGATGAATCATAATGTTTTTATCTTTACATCTCACTGTCACTGGACCAGGCTCTAAATATTAAATTTTTAAAAAATCATAAAAGAGTAGTGGGTAGATAGATAATATATCATGACTATTGCTATATGCATTATATGAAAACAATTATAACGTGAAGAGACTGATTTGTGACTGTGAAGTTCAGAATTGTTCCTTTACACATAAGTATAAAAAATATTTATATAAACCTTAAATATTCACTGGGAATTTTCCTGATGGGTTACAACCACTGAATACAGTATCTTTTTTTTAAATCCTCATCTGAGGATATTTTTAATAATTTTAGAGAGGAAGAAGGAGAGACAGAAAAAAACTGATTGGTTGCCTCCCCTGTGTGCTCTGACTGGGGATTGAACCTACAACCTTTTGGTCTTTGGAGGATGCTCCAACTAGCTGATCTAGGCCAATACAGTACCTTTATAGTAAAATCAGTCATTACATTGTGAAGACAATTTTATGCAAATTGTATTTTAATCATAACCATTTCTATTGTAAATACATATTATTTTTCCTTGGGCTAACTAAAAATTAAACTATTTGGTGTATTTTTTTAAAGCTTTATTTATTTATTTACTTATTTATTTTTAGAAAGAAGGGAAGGGAAAGAGAGGGAAACATCAGTATGTGGTTGCCTCTCTTGTGCCCCCTACTGGGGACCTGGCCCACAGCCCAGGCATGTGTCCTAACTGGGAACCAAACCGGCAACTCTTTGCTTCACAGACCCGTGCTCAATCCCACTGAGCTACACCAGCCAGGGCTGGTATATTTTCTTTTTTTTTTCCTATATAATTAATATGACAGTCTTTTCCAAGATAGGAAACTTAGAAATGTTTTTGGTGGTTGTGTTTTTATAATACAGTGTTATTTTGGATCTTCAAATAATAGCAAGGCAAATTACTTGAAAAGTAAACTTTTTCTGTTCTGAAGGTTCAACTTGTTTCATAGGTGTTCACAAGTTTAAACACTTTAATAGAAGAAACCTCAAGACTTGTCTTTTTCTGATTTCCTTCCCCTTTTTGGACTAAATAATGGACTTTTTATTTGTAGTTATAAAATTTATTTATTTGAAAGTACTGAGGAAAATACTTTTATTTTGGGTCACAATGAACTGATTTCATGAATATGGTTATTCCTTCAGTGCCCTAACTGTATACTTGTATTCACACGATGTGAATATGAACAAATTGCTTTGTGTTTGGGGTTTTCGTGAATGGGATTTTTGCATTTCTTAGTGGTTTGGAAATCTACCTCATTGTTATAAATAGCTACATGCCAGTGTCACACTGGGTTGTCTCATTGCTTAAAAATAAAATAAACTTCTTTTAAACAAAGATATTAGACTTGGCTCTTACCTGACCAAGAACCAAAAGACAGAATTTGAATAGATTCTGTCATGTGTATTTCATTAGCGGACTCATTAGAAAGTGTTCTAAAATTGAAGTACATTTCATAGCTGGGACTGCATTTATAGCCCTAGAGGTGATGTTATTCTTATAAAATATTAAGAGGAGAAAAGGAGAATATCACTTGTCAGAAAGATTATCTAGGAGAGAAAACATACCTCAGATTTAACAGAGAGCTAGAAAAAGAATTAAACTTTTTCTTTTAGGGTCTTTCCCTATATGCGTATGTACTCTTACTGTTCTTACTGCCGTGTTCAAGGCTGTCGTCTTCTTTTGCCAAGATATAGGAATAACAAACATTTTAAAAGTGTAATCCGGAACTGTGTGAGAAGTTTTATGAGTTGTTTTTACATAAAACTTAAATATGACCTGTAAAGCAGAATATATTTTTTTCTTCTTATTTTAGGAAAGGTTATTTGTAAATGAAGAAAATGTTAATGAGTTTCTTGAAGACGTCCTGAGCTCTCCATTCCAACAGACAACACCCCTAACCCCACCTTTAATTGAAGTCCTTCAGGTTACTGATAGCAAGATTCAAATTCAGGCAAAGGTAAGGATTTCAGTGGGTTTTGTAGAATAGTGACTTAGGACAAAGTTGAAGCGTAATGAATAACTTAATTCTTGATGTTGTAATTTTAAACTAAATGTAGTAAAGACTTTTTTATATGTTTATTTTACTATGTGCTAAACACTCTGCAACTCATTTTCATATACATTATCTCATTTAACTCCAAAATAGCTGTCAAGCGAAGAATAGAGAAAAACTGACATTTGGAAAGTTAGTCCAGGGACAAAAAAGTCTTTTTGACTCTCAGACCATTTCATACAGCTAGTTCATTCTTTCTAGTTGAATCTTACGTTTGGTCATTTTTACAGACTTCATTATTGAATGCAGAAATAATTTAACTAGCACAAATGGCATGTATTAGGGGGAGAGTGGCTCTGAAGAATCACAGTGATTCAAGTACATTCAAGAAACTCAAGAATACCCTTCTAAGAATGATTGCTAAGCCCTGACTGGGTAGCTCAGTTGGTTAGAGGATGTCTGGATTCACCAGTGTTGTGGGTTTAATCCCCTGTCAGGGCACATACAAGAGTCAACCAGTTAATGATAAGTAAGTGGAACAACAAATCAATTTTTTCTTTCCCTTTCTCTCTTAAATAAATAAATGAATAGAAATAAATAGTTTGTAGGCCAGGATTTTTTTATCCTGAGGCAGATAAGTTATTGAAAGAATTTAATCAGAATTAATGACAGGTTTCCATTGTTTGCATTGTCAATAAATGGCAGCATTTGGAGGATGACTTTGAGGAGGAAGTCTGTCTACAGGTCTGCAAGGGTTGGTTATTCCCTCACAACTTTAATTTTTTCCAGGTGATACTAAAATTTCATTTTCTGTTTGTTTCCAAGGATGATTAATTTGTTGTTTCTCCTGACATAGTTGCAAAAATGTAGTAACTCTGAGCAGCTTCAGGAAAAGGAAGAAGGAGCCAATGAAGGAAGTCATCTAACTGAAAAAGAAAAAATAGAACACCCTACTACCTCAACAACGGATTCTGATTCATCTATAGCAGTTAAAGTACTAGAAATAGACAGCTGTGGGTCTGCTGAAAACTTGCAACAAGAGTCTCTTGATGTTTCCCCAGTGCTATTTGGAAAGTCTCAGCAACCTGAGTCAAAAATGGAACCTGAATTTTTGAAAGAAAAAAGTGCTGTTTACTCAAATGAAGGGAAAGATAATTTAAAAGAACCAGTAATGGATGAAAAGAAAGAATTAACAGTTCACAATATATCTGGTTTTGACAACATAAAAGAAACCAATATGCAGGATGGTAGTGTGCAGATTATTAAAGATCATGTGACTCATTGTGCATTCAGTTTTCAGAATTCCTTGCTATATGACTTGGATTAATTCTATATAATTTTAGAATTTAAAGGTTAAAAGTTAAAAAATTTTGGATGTAATACAATTTGTTTCTGTTAACCATTATCTTAAAACCAAAGGTTACTCAAGAAAGCATATTTTCGGTTTAAAATATATTCTGTTCACTCTTAAAACTGAAGATATTCAAGAAATTAAAATTTGCAATTTTGATTCTAATGGGAAAACTGAAGATATTTTTCAGTTTATATACACATTGAGTTTATATACAATTTAAGTTTTGTGATTCCATTCCTCTGTAGATGTATATTCTTTTCAAATGAGAAACGTTTCGTTTTCTAAATGTTGTTTCTAAACGTTGTTTGAATATATATAACCTGTATATATTTACTTCTGTGTTATTTTTGGCTTCTTTTGTTTACCATTAGTTTCAAAATATTAAGTTGTGGCTGTCACAAAAAGTAATTCTCAAGAATGTAACTAGAAATGTAAGTGTTGGGGCGGCTGTTTTTTGAAGTTTCACTAAATAGGATAGGGGTTTTTTTGCTTGAAATATTGTTACAGATGAAAGAACTTTACTAAACAGTAATAATAATTTGAACGATTATAATGCAAATACACTATGAAATTTAGTATTTTTGATTCCACACTGTATTTTACTTTTCTCATCACGCACACACACATACACATACTACATACATATAAAATATATGTGCATTCACATATAATACAGGTTATTTAGTAATTACTTTGAAATTTTAAATTTTTTAGAGGTTTTTTTTTTGGAAGTTATTGTTACATATTAAAACATCCCTTGGTTTTATAGAATACATAGCTGAATTCTAGAACAGGAAAACTAAAAAATCTGGGAATTTGCTCCCATGGGAAAATGATCATTATTATATTATTATATGAAGACAACAAAGTGTTTTCTAATTAATTTCCTTTATAACACCTAGAAGGCAGCAACAGAAAATAATGTATCATGGCTGTTATTTTGTGGAGTAGTGTTTTTATTTGAGGCCAGAAGAATATCCTACTGCCTATTTTCCTCACAGAAATTTTTAGGACAGCATGGAATAAAATGTAGAAAGAAAAATCTGTTAACCCAATCTCTAACCCCAAAGACTATGAGCTGAGGTATGTATTCCAAAAACAGGTACCAATTCAAACATCTGGCCTTACCTTAGTCCTGGAAATTACCTAATATCTTCAATCCTTTAAACTGGGGAGGTCGTATCAGAGCACCAAAAGCTGGTGCAAAGCCTGGCTACTCATCCTGATTTACATGTATAATCCAGATAAAATCTGGAACTAGACTGGATTAAGGGCAATATAAATGTAGCTAGTTCATAAAACAAGAGAACTATTTGCCCCACCTTAGATGACCAAATGCATTTTCAACCATAATGATGCTTAATTTGCTGCAATAATTTTGAAACTACTTAATATACAATTTTCTTAGTTTGAAATGACTGATTGTAATATCTAGTACAGAAATTAGTCTGAGTAATTTTTGGTTGAATGGGATTGCATACTGTTAAGAGAAATGCCTATGTTAAATGTAGAATAAATTTTAAGCCTGTTTCCTACTGTGTCCTTTTAAGAAGTATTTCAGTTAAAATAAAGCTGGCACTCTAACACTGTACTTTAGCATGACTGAACTTTGTATTGTTCCTGGCTGTATTTCACTTGCACAGCAGCTTTTTATTGTTCGTTATCTATACCTGGCTAATTTGAAAGCCAGTTTCTTCCAAAGGGAATGCATTGTCAAGAGCTGGGTTTTCTTTATTTCAGACTCAGTTATATAATGTACAAATAGTAAATATGAAGATATAATACAAACTTTAAAACTTTAAAAATGCCTTCACTGAATTTTGGTGTAATGAATACACAAAAATTTATTCTGCAAAACCATTAGGAACCTCTTTGTGCAAAAATGATTATTTTATTTTGGCAGCACTAAAAGAAAAAAAAACCCACTGTATTTCTACATTGAGGTGAAAACAGTGTTAAAATTTTCTTATCAAATACATTCCAAAAGAAAGTGTTGTTCTACGAAGGTTCCAAAGCACAGGCAAATCTTAACACAATAATACAGGAATCTGTAATACTTATATTGACTCTGTTTTGACAGGGTGTTTAACAAATATAACTTTTGAATTATAAAAGCAGTAAAGCAATCCTTTTCTAGTAACTGTGTAGAGTGAAACTGGGCTTGTTTCATTAATACTTAATAATTTCGTGGCAATATTTTTTACTACTATGACAACTTTAAATAAATTTGAAAATGGAAACGTATACAAAGTTCCAGGTAAAAATATTAATAGATGCAATTTAAATAAGATTCCTCCTCTTCTCTCAGAGTAATGATTAGCTTTAACAGATATATATACTAAGCTTTAAAATCCAACTCCCCAAATTAAAACTTGTTTTAAATCTTAATCAGACATAAAGGAAAAAGATTACTATAATTGGACACCTTTTACAAGAATTTTTTGTATTAAAGCAGAAACCCAAACCTTAAACTCTTTTATTCAACTGTCTGTCCTTTGGGACAAATATCAAAAATAGAAGACTGTCACTTTTGCTTTTGTAATTGTGTTTTTTTTTTTCACTGCAGTCTTCTATAACTTTTACAGAGTTCATGGTCTCTAATATCTCCCCACCCTCCATTTTTCCTAGGTGGGGAAATGGCTGCCATGAACTTCTCACTGATACTCAGAGTTTCTGGAAACATGTACTGTTTGTTACTATTTAAGAGTGACTCAATTTGGGCACTCTGGGTTGATGGTCTACAGGTTTTCTTGTGGTGCATACCACAGTCTCCAGCGTGAAAAATCCTAGGTACCTGAGGAACTAGCACTTTCCAGAATTTTGGAAGACAAGATAGAGTCAAATATTGAAGAGTCCAGTCCCAGTTATAATCATCATAAGTACAGAAAGTGTCTGTGCAGTCGATCAGTTTCTGATATGCATCCCGGGTCAAGGCTAGACCCATATTGTGCTCTGTGGATTTCCAAGTTTTCACGTCTACCTTGTCAGCAATGCCAGAGAAACTTCGACTGGCAGTATAGGTTCCCAGGGAAAGAACATCACACTCAGGACACTCTTGTTGCTTTAATTTCCACATCTTTTTGATGACATGGTAAAAGTCTGGGGCTAAGTAGTGATCCTCCTCCAGGAAAACTATGAGGCCAGCATAGTCTCGAAGAATTTTGACCCTTTCCCATACAAAATGCAGCTTCCACCACCAATGGTGTTTGGTTTGGGAGAACTTGGCCTCTCTATAATGGCCAAAGGAGTCAGGATACTCAGCATTAATGCATCCCATCTTCAAAGCTGCATTCTTCTCCAGATCTCTTGGGCAATCTCTAGGGTCACTGCCCGGAAACTCGTTCGGGTACAACTGAATGCTGAAAGGAAAGAACACCTGCAGAACAGGACAGAAATCCACAGCAGCAATCAGCTGATTGATCTCAGTCGACCAGAAGTCATGGCTAAAGATGACGAGGACGTTGTCAATGCCGTGGGCTTTCCGAAGTGAGTCCAGCAGCAGTTTGAGGTAATCGGGCCGGTTATGTACCTGGACCACCAGCACCAGCTCTCTGGGGGCCCAGGAGCCGGCCTTATCTACATTCCTCAGCGTCTGATCAAAGTTCAGCTGGTACACCAGGGACCGGTACCGCAGCGTCAAGTTGTCCGCCTCCGGCTGCGGGGCCACCGCCACCAGCGGAGCCGCTGACTCGTTGGAGACCCGACGGATGCCCATGGACACTGGGGGATGGTCCCCAACCCGGCCACGCGCGGGCTCGGCGTCCAGGAGAGGCGGGGAGAGGGCCTCGTTCTTCCTCTGTCGCCCATTGCTGCTCCAGAGAACGAAGCCGCAGGCGGCCACCACGATCGTCAGGATCAGCACCTTCCGCTTGTAGATACGGAACCTCATGGTCTCCTGGGCCGGGAACGCCGGCAGGAGGGTGCGGGAAGGAGCTAGCGGCGTCTACACGGAAGAGGCGAGCAGGCAGCTGTCGTCGCCTTGGCCTGTAGCAGTCGGAACTGGCCCCCGCAGCTGCCCTCACTAACTCATCCCGGGCCCCAGAACTCCTGGGGCCCGAAGGCTCTCGGCTTCACCGTGCTGCCGGGGCTCTACACATCTTCGCTTGGCAGCTGCAGCTCGGGCGGTAGTCCCGCCGCTAGGAGCCGGGGCTCGTACACGCCTCGGTTCTCTCCATTCAGCACGAGTCTCGAAAGAAGCTCCGCCGCGGCCCCACGGAACCCCAGCTTCGTTACCTGCGCCTCCAGCGGCCCTGTGTCCTCTGCGCTCTCATCCTTAACGCCGGCCCCAGACCACCAAGACTCAGCGATACAGCCTCGCCCCACTTGGGCAATGACCGCTCTGACAACCCGCTACTGGCCCGCCGAGCGCCGCGGCCCCAGGGCCCACACCCCTCCGGCCCGCCCCTTGGGCCGTTGGTTGGCGCTTCCGCAACTCGTGCAGTGGTGCCCATCCGCCGCTGCCCGCTACCTATTGGTCCGTGGCACTGTCGCTCAAAGCTGGGTTCCAACTTCCGTTCGTTGCCTCCTTTTCCTGTTAGGCGTGAGCGGAGCGAGGCAGAGTGTGTAGACGCTGGGTTTCCAGGTAAGGTAAAATTGGGGCCGTAGGGTTCCCTACGGGAGCCTCTGGTGTCCAGAACCTGGGGGTGGACTAGGCCCTGGTAGGGAAGGGAAGGTGAGACCCGCTGCTTTGGCTGGGTAGAGTTCAAGAACGGGCCTCTGCCTCTGGAAGGGGACTCAGGCATGGCGCAGCTGGGCCGGGAGGTACTTGTTAAGGACACGTCAGCCTTCTGGGCGGCTGAGCAGTGAGGGTGAATGGTGCTTGGGGTGGGGGAGTGAAACCAGACTCCAGTTCTCCCAGAAGTAATGGGGGCGGGTCGTAGCGGTAGCTACTCCGTCTGGCACGGAACAGGGCATGTACGGGATCTAGAACATCGCGGAAGTGGGTGCAGAGAGCAGTTGAAATGGAACTGGAACCTTGGCCTTCTCTGCGAAAGGAAATTAAACATCATTACACTTTTCTTTTGAGAGCCACCGTTAATTAAGCTCCCACTCTGTAACGGGAACTCTGTGCTGCTCTTGCTGTTTTTGGTCTCATTCTAGCCATGCAATGATTTAAGCATTCCAAAAAGGTGTGCGCGTGTTTGCGCGTTTACTTACGGAAAATTAATAGTTGGTGGATTTATACATTACTAATTGTTATCTCCCATAAGTACTTGCAAACTACTAATACATTTCAAAATGTTTAATTGTAGTTTAAACAGCTTACCACAGTTTTCCTTGTATAGACAGCTTTACTGCCAAGATGGTCAATGTGCCTAAAACCCGAAGGACATTCTGTAAGAAGTGTGGAAAGCATCAGCCTCACAAAGTGACCCAGTATAAGAAGGGCAAGGATTCCCTGTATGCTCAGGGGAAAAGGCGCTATGATCGTAAGCAGAGTGGCTACGGTGGGCAGACAAAGCCGATTTTCCGGAAGAAGGCTAAAACCACAAAGAAGATTGTGCTGAGGCTGGAATGTGTTGAGCCTAACTGCAGATCCAAGAGGATGCTGGCCATTAAAAGATGCAAGCATTTTGAACTGGGAGGAGATAAGAAGAGAAAGGGCCAAGTGATCCAGTTCTGAGCTTTGGGATTCTGTTTTATTTTCGAAAGGAAAATGTTGAAGCAGTAAAAAAATTACCTGTATGAAAATAAATGCAGTGATATTCTTACTCATATCTTTTGTCGGTTTTTAAAAAAAAATAAGAACTGCATGCTTAATGTGGTTCTAAATTAAGGAAATGAGAGTAAATTACTTGTAAGCAAATCTCAAATTATTAAACTTAGTTCCACAAGAATGAGAATTTTGCTTTTATATATGAATTTTAGGTCAGCTATGGTATTTACATGGGGATGGCTTGTAGATGAATAAGATAGGCAAAGGGCTAAGGTGTAGGAGTAACAGGCGGTTAGCACTTCTTCCCAACATATCTGCATTTAAAAAAAAATAATTTTTCTGTAAGAACATAAAAATCAGATATGTACAGATTTTTTAAATATGCCATAAAACATCACTTTAAAGAACCATGTTTTAATGTAGTTTTATATTTACTGGCAATCCCTCACCAATTTATGTGTTTAGAAAATCCTAAGATACTTAATTACAGAATTCTTGGTTTTAGAGACCAAATTGAATTAACTCTAGAAGGTAGTATGATGCCTGGACCTAAAACCTCTGATATGGTTCATGGTATCCCTCACAGGGTGATTTGTAATTATTGAGTAAAATACTCTGAATAAAACACCTGGAACAAAGTCGGTACCAGATAAGTCACTGCTCTATTTAAGGCATGTTTGCATTATATATAATTTTTAAAAATAATCTAGAAATAATACAAGGACTTAAGAGGAAGAATTTAATCACTAGCAATATAAATGTAACATTGTCCAAAGGATCATTACTTTGGACCAATGCCTTGCCTCCATCAGCTTGGAGAAGAAACTTGGAGCTAATGTACATAGTTTTAATAGAAATTTAAAACAGTATCTGTTCAAGAATATTTGTATTTTCAAAAAAGAAAAAGATGCCCCAAATAAATGCCTTAGGAAGACAGGTTACTTCAGTTTAAGAAATAGTCTTGTATATGAGGGGGATCCCCACAAAACCAGAATTTATAAAAAATTGTGTATTCTCACATATTTAAACTTTGATCATCTTCAAAGCACTAACCATCTGATGCATGTTAGTACTTCTGCCATTTTTTGTTTCCCCTCTCCCACACTGGTGAAATGTTTCCTATGGAGGACTTTTTTCATCCAGGGAAACAAAAGTTGCCTAGGGCGAGATGGGGTAAATAGAAAGGATAGGGCATGGGGGTCATGCCATTTTTGGTCAAAAATTGCTGAATACTCATCTGGGTGTGGACAAGTGGCCCCCAAAGTCACACATCATGTAATGGGCAGGCAGGTGGAAAGAGTCTTCAAAGGAAAATTCACTGAAGCTGAATGCAGCCTATCACAACACCAGCTGGCACACTGGTACAGATGGGTTCCTAGAACACCTAGTGGGGGAAGTGTGTACTACAAGAGGCCTGACCCCCCCAGAAGATAATTGTTTTTTTTGGGCCCCCTCAATCCACCTCTAATTACAAGCCCAATGGAGCAATAATGTATAAATTCTAGAGATTTCCTCCAGTAACTTTTTGCTCTCCTTTGTTCTGAGAAACCAGTTATGAGTCTATTAGTGATCTAGGAGAGGCTGATTTGAAGGGCAGTGGGAATGAATAGAAGGAACAGTTACCGATGCCATTTTATATGACTTTTAAGTTCGTTACTTTTCTACTTCCTCTGCCCTAGTTCAAATTCTCATCCTTTGTTGTATTGCCACCACTTTTTAAATTAAAAAACTTAATAGAAAAAGGACCCCCATAATACAGAATGTCAGTAAAATGTAACCTTTTTCTGCTCCTCTTACCCAACTAAAACCTTGTTCAACTGCCACCCCCCAGAAACCTTGGAAATACAAAGACTGTGTGATTGACATTATAAAACTCATAAAAGCCTAAATCCTTCCCAAAGCAACTCCTACTTTATGCTTGGTGGATATAAAATTCCATCTGTAGACTAATACAGCGAAAAAACACAAAAGGTAGTATGCTTAAAAACATGCAATTTCATACCAAAAGGTTTTCCCTATAATTTAGACCACATAAATTCTCCAAGGAATATATTCTGTATTCATAATCTCAACTGCTTTAGTTGAAATAGAAAATAAGTTGGTAGAAATTCTATGGCTGAAGTGATTGAGATCACCGTATGCTTAACATTAAAAGATAACCCCACAACCCATTCCAGAAACACTAAGCTAAAATCAACACAATATGCAATAAACTGATATGAGATCACCCCACAATAAAATTTTTTAATGAAATTAAGACTTTACAGTTACAAAGTGTTAAGTGTAACACATTCTTGCCCTCAAGCATGCATACAGAAAAGCTTCCCTTTCTCCAACTTTGTTAAACCATAAATGAATCCCAAACTGATCTGTAACAGAATTTCTTTTTGTGGTATCATTTATTATTTGAACATATCACAGGAATTTACATAACAGGATAGAGAACAGAAGTAAGAGAGAACAGGTGCTTCAGTCCCACCCATATTATCTACTAAGACCACAGTATGAGCAACTGAGTGTAGATTCATGGTCGTTGTTCCCTGAATAAAACAGTTTAGACAGAATCTTCCACAAACACAGGTTTTTGCAGTATCCAAATCTTGGCAAAGGTGGAAAGGAATGATATGAGAGCCATATGGAATCCTGTTGGAGAAAAAATGTTTAAAAAATATTTTTAAAATGTATTTAGATATGAATTATTAAGCACTAAATTATAACTATGAAAGATTATTAATTAAATGATTCAGTATATTGTTTCATCTTACAAACTGGGTAATGGGGAAAATATTTCAAAAAACAGGATATTCCAAACTATAATTTATTGTAAACCGAAGAGGATCTATACCACTCCATATAGTATCTTTCAAGCACTGCCACTTAATAGTAAAATCCATTGAATAGAATGAATTACCTGTCCTTTATATAACTATACTGTATAAACAGCATAACACGGTAAGTTAAATCTATAGCTCTGTCATACAATTCTCATGATGGTAATGGGAGAACTAAGTTCTACCTGTGAAGAAACATTTCAATAAATCCATATACCGTACTCTCCTAGGTACATCAATTATTCAAAAGGGAATTTTAAACTGTGTAAAACATTTAAAACACGTTGTTTGGGGCCTTAGTTTTACTTTACTTGCTAAGCAAGTAAGGCTGCCTTAACTTACTTAAATCATTCACCCTCCTGAATAACTTGAGTGGTGTCCAATGCAATTAAAACCAAGTCTAAGTGCTCACCCTCATCTACACAAAACTAAGAGTCTCTTGAGATGGCCTGCCCACTGCCCACTCCTTCCCCCTAAATGCAACAATGCTCTGTGCAACTCAGTCTCCCTTACACAGGTGTTTCTATGGTTCCTAGCCCAGGTTGGCACATAACAGGTGTTTAGATCTTTTTCAGCAAATAAATAAAACCAACTCAGAGTTTAAAACCCTTTTTAAAAAGTCTGAAAAGATACACATCAAATCAGAAATAGTGGTTTACTTTTTGTAAGGGATTTGGAATTGACCTTTTGAAAAAATTACAATTTTTCACTTTTTCCACATGTATTAATTCATTATTACCTGTGTAAGTTAAAAACTGTGCCAGGAAGTGTCTATTGCATATCTACATTAATGTCTTCCACCTATCTGTTATAGTCTAAGGAAACAGGTAACAACTGTGACATCATTTAAAGTTCTATTTTTCTAATACACCATAACTTTGTAACTAGTAGTTAAAACAATTTGCCAACAGATAGAAAATAGGTATTATTCTCATGGCTTTGGGTTTATATCCTTTTTAAAAGAGGGCTGAAAACATGCAAAAATTATACTTTAGTAAAGGTTAGTGAAACATGCAAAATTATATTTTAGTAAGGATATTAATGGAGATCAAGTTTAAAAAATAAAAAAGTACTACAATGCTCAATCATTCAGCACTAATTATTTTTTCTGCTCTGCCTATTATATATTTTGTTTTTTTAAATTATATTTTGTTTATGCTATTACGGCTGTCCCAATTTTTCTCCTTTGCCCACCCCCGCCCCACCCCAACTCTCATAGGCACTCTCCACACAATTGTCCATGTCCTGCATATAAGTTCTTCGGTTACTGTATTCCCTATTCTGTACTTTACATCCCCATGACTATTCTGTAAATACCAATTTTTACTTCATAATCCTGTCACCTTTTTTTGCCCATCTCTGGCAACTTCAAACTAGTTAGTCTGAAGTAGAAACTAAGCATATATATTTCTAATCTATATTATTTAAAAGCTCTTCCACAGCTAATGATAACACTGATTTTAACTGTCAGGTAAGTAAATTACATGTATTTATTATAGTAAATATAATGTAAATATTAAACATTTATTGAGACCTATTATAAGCCAGGCACTGTTCTAGGCACTTACATGTATTGTCATTTAGCTAGTAATTTTTAATTCTTACGTAAGAGTCAATGCCGTAAGCCAGTGGTTCTCAAAGTGTGGTTTCTGAACAGCCGAAGCAGCATCTCCTTAGCAGGTGTGTCAAATTCATTTTCACAGGGGGCCACATCAGCCTCACAGTTGCCTTCAAAGGGCCAAAATAATTTTAAGACTGTATAAATGTAACTACTCCTTAACTGTTAAGGAGTTGAAATTACACTCAGCCCTCTGAAGGCAACCACGGGGCCCCTGGTGAAACTGAGTTTGATACCCCTGCCTTAGAACTACTAGTTAAGAGATGCAATTTCTTCAGCCCCACTCCAGATGTAGTGAAAAAGAATCCAGCAATCTGCTTTAATAACCACTTATTTCAATAAGCATGATTCTGATGCACTCTCAAATTTTAACAACCACTGCCTTAAGGATAGTATGAATCCTTAGTTACTTTTAGAGCCTTAGTAATCAAAGTGTGATTCAGGATTAGTAGCCTCAGCCTCACCAGAAAGCTTGTTTGAAATGGAGGATCTCCACCCTAGACCTCTGAAACAATCGAACAAGACTCTCAGGTGATTTGAATGCATATTAAAGGATGAGAAGCACTGGTGTGAATCAGTGGTTCTTAATCATACCTAGCTCTACAGAATC